GAGAGAAGGGGAGGAAGAGAGAGAAGGGGAGGAAGAGAGAGAAGGGGAAGAAGAGAGAGAAGGGGAAGAAGAGAGAGAAGGGGAAGAAGGAGGAGGAAGAGGAAGAGGAGGCGGAAGAGGTGGAAGAGGCGGAAGAGGCGGAAGAGGCGGAAGAGGGGGAGGAAGTGGGGGAGCGGGAAGAGGGGGAAGAGGAGGAGGAAGTGTGAGAGCGGGAAGAAGGAGAGGGGGGGGGGTAGGGGGGAAAAGGGCAAGCGCGGCAAGTACAGCAAGAACGACAAGAGCGACTACAAGATCGATGACAGGAACGATGGCAAGAGCGGTGACAGGAGGACAACAAGAGCACCAAGAGGGACAATAGGCGGAAGAGAGACGAGAGGGGAAACAAGAAATAGAAGAAGAAGCGGAAGTGGTTTATGGCTGATAAATCAACTGTGTGAACCTTGTTGGATGTTGGCTCGAAATCCACAGAGCATGAGTATCATTAGCAAAAATACAGTATTAGCTCACCTGCGAAACAAGCAGCGAAGAAAACGATGAATGGAAGTACGCATTATGTATCTTGCATATAATTGTCCAGCTATTACTGTGTGTGTCCTAGATCATTAAACACCAAAGAGCCTCCCTGGATCAATAGCCAAGTTGTATATTAATATTCGCGGACGTGGTGGCCGCTATATCAAATGATGTTTCGCCCAGTAGTCATGAAACTCCCACCAAGCAATGGTAAATGTAAACGCTCGCTCTGTTTCAAATCATGCTGTTATAGTCGTGACTGTACCCGTCGCTGCATTAACTCCCCGTCCTTCTTTGCCCATTCCCGCAAAACCCGCCTCTGAATCTTTCCACTCTCCAATTTCGGAACTTGCTGGACAAACACCACTCCTCCCACAAGGTATTTGTATTTTGCCACTCGCGACTTTATCCAGTGTTCGATGTCTTGGGGCGTTACTTTTCCTTTCGAAGCCTCTTGAATCGCGACGTAGGCGCGGGGAAGCTCTTCTTCGCCGCTGTGGAAATGTTAGTATCAGAGAGAAAATGAAGGGGAAGAGAGAATACAATTTGATTCCTACGACGCCTGCGTCTGCGATATGCTCATTCTCCAGTAGTACTGCTTCCAACTCTGCGGGGGCAACTTGGAATCCATTCACTTTGATAAGTTCCTATTTATCATCATAAGTCAGTTGTGTATGCATCTTCTGGATGGTAGGCCAACCTTTTTCCGATCGATAATCCAGAAATTCCCATCAGCATTGCAAACTGCTATGTCCCCTGTCCGTAACCAGCCCTCAGTATCAATAGTTTCGTTAGTAGCTGCAGCGTTGCGCCAGTAGCCAAGAGCTATCTGTGGACCCCTGAGGTACAACTCTCCTGGCTGCCCATAAGAAACTTCCTGTCCATAATCATCGATGAGCTTGCATTCGGTGTTTGAAAGCAACTTTCCAATGCTGCCAGTATCATCGACATCGATAGCTAGCATCCCCATCCCTCCACAGGTTGTTTCGGTCATCCCATAGCCTTGTACAATGTTGAATCCGAATCTCTCTGAGCAATGATTCTGCAGCTCTTTGCTCAACGGCGCTGCGGCGCATAGAGCGAGTGTCAGCGAACTGAGATCATATTTGCTTGTGACTGGGTGCTTGGACATCATGACTAGAATCGGCGGCACGAGCTGCAACGTCGTGATCCGATACGTCTGTATGGCGTGCAGAAAATCCTCGAAAACAAATTGCTTCATCACATAGACGGGTATCCTCCTTTTGAGAGATATGATGATTAAATATAGTTGTCCATAGGCGTGGTAGAGAGGAAGATAACCGAGCCAGCGGTCATCGAGTAGGGGGAGCTGTCTCTTGTGGACGAGGTTGAATATATTTTGAGCGGCGTTGGCAATTATATTGGCATGGCTTACCATCACACCCTTTGGATGCCCTGTCGTTCCGGATGAATAATTGATTGATGCGATTGTCCTCAAAGATTCTTCGGGTGTGAAGCTTGGCCAAGCGTAGTTGTCAGCGCCATATTCCCTGATGAGAAGGCGCCAATCTGGGACACCGAGAACGGGCGTACACTCAACATCTGAGAGCTGGAAGATTTTTGAATTTGATAAGCCGATTTTGGCGACAGCCTCAACAGCTAATGATACAAAGTTGGGGTGTACAAGTATGACGCTTGGCTGAACATCCTCGATTTGGTAGACAAGTTCTGGAACCGCATCAGAAAACGAGTATGTGAGTTGGTAAGATACTCACCTCGCAAAGTAAATGCTGGATTTGCTGCACTGAATCTATAACCTCCGCCAACAATCCCAAGGTATGCTACTGGCACAAATACGTGGTTTGGTGTAAAGAGCATAACCACCTCACCCTGCCGTAAACCTGCATTGCTGAGGCCCCTGCTGAAGCTCTTACTCCATTTTAAAACCTGAGCTTCTGACAAATAGTTGCTCGGATCCTGTGCATCTATCCAAAGCGGCTCATTGCTTGGTTCGTGGCCGGGAGGGAAGAGGTAGTCTACCAGATTAGTTTGCGGGATCTCGAGGTAAGGATGAACAGATTTAAACGGCATTTTTGCACCAGTAAATGATCTGTCGATTGTCCGCCAGAGAGCAACACAAGAATGAGTACAGAAGAAAGGCGTTGCTTATAACATTTTGTGGCTGGGTGAAGGGGGATGGGATTTGTGTTAATTGGAGAGCTGGCGTTGGGGGCAAGTGCGGTGTACAGTACAAAGGCGACGCAAGGAGTAAGCAAACATTCCAGCTTGAAAGTAAGCGTTTTCCGGGTGGGTGGATGGCAAACACGTCAACGAAAAAACGTGGCAGCCTTGTTTGACTACTGTAATTCTAGAAGGATTTGGAAGTACAGTACATTGGTTATGGGGGTTATGGGGGCTAAGAGGCGTTTTCAGCACCGGATATATTACCAGATTGGGGTCCAACAGTCCAACAGTCCAACAGTCCAACAGTCCCCTTCACCTCCAACCGAAGCTCATATAGTTACACCACAACCAATGATCCTGCAACTGGCTGATAAAGCGGAGAAAAATCCGCGAGCGTTTATTACTATCTTTATTGGCATTTCTTTTCTCGGGGCCACGAGGGAGTGGTTAAAATTAGATGAGACCTCTTCCGCTTGGCGTTCTCACATATTCAAGACAAAGCACCAGAATAACAACTTGTGTTTTACATCGCATATGGAGATATTTGTGACATGGTTGGGCGTAGTAAATTTAAACCTATATTTGACTTAAATTCATATATTCTGAATTGGAGTTTATACTCCCAGACTGTCTCTGCGTTGCGCCACTCCCAAATCATTAGTAGCCTGCTTCTCGGGCCTAATGTTGTCTCGCTCATGGTTGGAAGCCTTGATAATATTGTCGATAGCGGTAATAAATAGTATGAGCCCTATAACTCCTACTGCCACCAACGGTGAAGCAATGGAAAAGACAGTGAATCCATAGGAAGCGTCGTGGAAGGCGTCATTGTCAACGAGCTGCTTTGTGGCAAGTCCCACCTGCATGGCTGTTAAAACAATGGCGACATAACCAAAAAACGTAAGAATCCATGCGAAGTTCTCCTCCAAGAATGTTCCAAACTCGTGATAGTCGTAAAAATAACCCCGGATCAAATGCTGCGTGCCGAATTTTATCCTGTATATGCTGTTCAGTCGGTTCAGTCTCAACTCCCCAAACCGATAACGTGGATTGATTTGCTCTATGTCTTCAAAATCATATCCCTTCATGAAATCGACAATAAAACTACACCATTCTTGGTAGGTGATCCCCTCGGGTAAAAGGCGTGGGTGGTCAGAGTTATCCATCGCCATCTGAAAATCGGACTCGTTGAACACCAGCCAGATATAGCTAAGCAGGAATCCCTTGGCGCTTTCAAATAGACCGCTGTCCGGGCATATGTTCCGATCCCAGAAATCCGCGTCGAGTAGATAACCAGGCAGAGGCTTTATGTAGATCCGAGAGCCTCGCCATGTAAGGTGAAGGTCCGCTTGTTCTGTGATAACGACACCGCGGCCCATCATCACTTGGCGGTGTAGAGGCCGGGCCGCCTTCCTCATGCCAGCCCACCAGAGATGTTGTTCAACATCCGTGAGCCGGGAGACATCAAGGTCATGTCTTAGGAACTCCCTGAAGCCGCCTTTTGGACCCTCAGACTTCTTGCATTTGTAGGTTTTATCTTGGTACATAACGGGTACGAGCACTGATCCAGTCGGGAGGATGCTATTTTCAAATGGTGCCACGAGTAAGCCCGTCTGTGTCGCCGATATCGACCCCATTTTGCATCTGCATCACCTGCACCGACAGCTTCAATTGAAGTTCAAGGCTGGATCAGAAAATTTGATGGTGGTGATCCTTCACGAGCACTAAAATTACCCTCGACTACCCCAGAGTTGACGTGAAACGTCAGTGAAGCGCACGGTAAGACCCGGGCGGCAACACAACCCTGTCTGTCTGTCAGCAGTCAGCCTGTCAAGGCTGAATATTCTATGATAAAGTCCACCACGGCGGATTCATTGCGAGGCCCCCAACACTTTACATGTCGTGCATGATAGGCGGTGAGCTCATTCTCCACGGGCTGCCCGAATTACCTCAGACGTACGTGTACTGTACATAGGAGCAAGACATACATGTCGACAAGACTCGTGATGAGTTGTTGAGTTGGGCCAACCAGACGGTATTTATAGATGCTCATGCGATCACCAACCAAAAGTACAGCGGCTAATGTCCATGCAACATCCTTCAAATCTGTATACTTGGCGCAAATCCTTTCTGAAAATGGGTCGGTGTGGAAAATCGGAAATCCATGGCTACTAACGATAGGGCTGAACTTGTCGAGAGAAGCTCACATCACATGGCGCATGTCTCATGATATAACTGACAGACAAATTTTGGCATTCAGCTAACGTCTAACTAAACAGAGCCAACGCATAAACTAGTACAAACATGATAATCATTAAAAATTTCCGTCAAACTACATGTGTCATGCACTCATTATGTGCACAAAAACATAACATGACAAAACAAGCGAAGGGGTATAAAAAACAAATCGCATCAAAACATCAATCTCCCTCCTCCAAACAATAATCACGCTGAGGCCGTTGCTTCATAGCACACCACCTATTTGGCGGCAACAGGGGTCTTGGCGGCTGGGCTCGCAGGAGCGGCAGCCGATTCGGCGATCGGAGGTGTTGCCTCTTTCGAGCTACTTCCCGGCCAGAACCACGAACCGAGGCGACCAAGCATACTCTTGCGCTTTACGTGACCCTTCTTGAATTTCGGTGTGGTAGGTGTGGTTGGCTCATCGGCGGCCTTCTCAGCTGGCGTCGATGGTGCGGCTGAAACTGGTTCCTTGGCCTCTGCTGTCTCGGCAACAGGAGCAGCAGCTTCAGTGGCTGCAGGCTTCTGATCGGCATCGGAAGTTTCAGCAGTCTTGAATGAGCCGGATGCTTGGGAGGACTCAGCGGCTGTGACTGGTTCGGCGACGTCGATGGATTTGGTGACAGGCTCGGAGATAGCTTCCTTAACAGCCACGGGAGCCTCGACAGGTGCGGCCTCAGCTACAACTGCTGGCGCAACAGGAGCGGCCTCTTCGGCCTTGGGCTGTTCTGCAACCTTAGGTTCTTCCTGGACCTTTGGCTCCTCGACAGCGACAGGTTCCTCAACCTTCGTAGCTTCCTCAGCAACCACTGGGGCCTCGGCCTTGACTGATTCCACCGCAGCAGGTTCCTCCACCTTAGTGGGCTCCTCGACTACAGCAGTCTCCTCCACCTTGGCGGGCTCCTCAACTGCAACAGCCTCCTCCACCTTAGCGGGCTCCTCCACTGCAGCAGGCGCGTTGGCAATCACTGGTTCCTCAACCTTGGGCTCCTCCACCTTGGTGGCCTCCTCAGCAGGTGCTACTTCCTTAGCCTCAGTAACCTCGCTGGCGACAACTGGCTCCTCTACCTTTGGCTCTGCAACCGCAGCCACCTCCTCGACCTTTGGCTCCTCAACGACGGATTTCTCAGCAACAGCTGGCTCATCGGTAGTGGCGGCCTCTGCGACAACAACGGGCTCCTCAACCTTAGCCTCCTCTACTACGGCAGGCGCCTTAACTGCAGTCTCTGCAACAGCGACAGGCTCCTCCACCTTGGTCTCCTCAACTGTGGCCTTCTCGGCAACAGCTGGCTCCTCAGTAGCGGCGGGCTCTGCGGCAACAACGGGCTCTTCGACCTTGGTCTCCTCTGCTGCGGAAGGTGCCTCAGCAGCCTCTGCAACAGCAACAGGTTCCTCTACCTTAGCAGGCTCCTCGACTGCGGCGACCTCCTCAACCTTGGTCTCCTCAACCGGGGTGACCTCCTCAGCCTTGGTCTCCTCAACTGCGGCTGGTTCCTCGGCGGTCTTAGTGGGTTCTTCGACAACAGCCGGCTCTTCAACTGCAGCAGGTTCTTCCATCTTGGTCTCCTCAACCGCAGTAGGCTCCTCGGCCTTAGTCTCCTCAACCGCAGCGGGATCCTCGACCTTGGTCTCGGCGACTTCCTCGACTGCTGCTGGTTCCTCGACCTTAGTCTCCTCAACAGGGGCAGTCTCCTTGGTCTCGACGACCTCCTCAGCAACCTCTGGTGCCTTGGCGACAGCAGCCTCCTCCTCGGCAGCAGCCTCAACCGGTGCTGCGACTTCAGCTGGCTGCTCTTCCTTAACTGCCTCCTTCACCTCCTCAACGGGAGCGGAGACTTCCTCGGTAGCAACGGCGGTCTCAACTGCCTTAACTTCCTCAATGACCTCCTCTGCAGGAACAGGAACCTCCTCGGTAGCTGCCACAGCCTCAACTGGCTGAGCCTCTTCAACTACCTCCTTTGTCTCAACGGCGGCAGGAACCTCTTCAGCGACCTTGGCGTCTTCGGATGCAGCGACCTCCTCGGTAACTGGAGATTTCTCGGTCACTACCTCTTCCGCAGCCTTCTCGGTCGTCTCGACAGACTCAGTAGCCTCGGTAGCTTCAGCGGCAGCAGGTGCTTCGGTAGCAGCAACCTCTTTATCGGCAACCTCCTCTGCAGGGGTAGTCTCAGCTTCAGCAGGCACCTCAGCAGTCTTCTCGGCAACCTCCTCAACTGGTGCGACCACCTCTGGGGTTTCGGTGGCTTCAACAGCGGCAGGAGCGACCTCCTTCTCTTCCGTGGTTTCGGCGGCGGCAGGTGCAGCCTCCTTATCCTCGGTAGCGGCAGGAACGACCTCCTCTGCTGTCTCGGTAACGGCAGGTGCAGCCTCCTTCTCCTCAACAGCAACAGGTGCGACCTCCTCCTCTGCTGCTTCAGCAACGGCGGCAGGTGCAGCCTCCTTCTCCTCAACAGCAGCAGGCGCAACCTCCTTCTCCTCGACGACGGCAGGTGCAACCTCCTCCTCAGCAACCTCCTCGACGACGGCAGGTGCAGCCTCTTCCTCCACAGCGGCAGGAGCGACCTCCTTCTCCTCTACCGCCTCGACAACGGCAGGCGCGACCTCCTTCTCCTCAACAGCGGCAGGAGCCACCTCCTCCTCTGCTGCCTCGGCAACGGCAGGTGCAGCCTCCTTCTCCTCCTCGACAGCAGCAGGTGCAACCTCCTTCTCTTCGACAACGGCAGGTGCGACCTCCTCCTCAACCGCGGCAGGTGCAGCCTCTTCCTCCACAGCGGCAGGTGCAACCTCCTTCTCTTCTGCTGCCTCGACAACTGCAGGTGCGACCTCCTTCTCCTCCTCAGCGGCGGCAGGCGCGACGACCTCCTCTGCTGCCTTGGTAACGGCAGGTGCAGCCTCCTTCTCCTCCTCGACAGCGGCAGGCGCAACCTCCTTCTCCTCAACAGCGGCAGGAGCAACCTCCTCTGCCTTCTCCTTCGAAGAAGTGGCTGCCACGACACCAGCGGCAATCGCCGAAACGCCCAGTGCAGCAGCTCCAGCGGCAACGACTTCACCCGCCTTTCCCTTTGCAGCCTTAGCCTTAGACTTCTTGTTCTTGCCCTTCTTGCCCGTAGCAGCAGCGGCCGGCTCAGCCTCCACCTCCTTGGCCTCAGCTTCAGGCTCGGCAGCAGCAACTGGGGTCTCTTCCTTGGCCTCCTCAGTTGCAGCTACTGGCTCAGCGACGGCTTCGGTTGCAGCAGCAACGATAGTGGCGGACTTGTCCTCCTCGGTGGCAGCGACAACTGGCTCTGCCTCTACTGCGGCGGCTTCTGGTGTAGGCTCAGCAACGGCTTCGGGAGTATCGTCTTTCTTCTCTTCGACGACAGCAGCTGGCTCAGACGTGGTCTCAGTCTCTGTAACAGCAGCAGGGGCCTCCTCCTTGGCCTCTTCGACAGCAGCTACAGGCTCAGCTTCCTTGGTCTCAACCTCTGGCTCGGAAACATCGACAGAGGCGATTTCCTTTGTTTCCTCAACAGCGGCGGCAGGCTCAGCAACAACTTCCTTTGCCTCAGCCTCTGGCTCGGCAACGGCAGCTGTTGCCTCCTCCTTCTTATCCTCAACAACAGCTACGGGCTCGGCCTCAACCTCCTTGGTCTCGGCGGCAGCCTCTTCGGCAACAACTGGGGTATCATTCTTCTCCTCGGCGTCGATAACTACCTTCTCAGCAACCTCCGGCTCAGCCTCAACCTCCTTGGTCTCGGTGGCAGGCTCCTCGGCAACAACTGGGGTATCATTCTTCTCTTCAGCGTCAACTGCCTTCTCAGCAACCTCCGGCTCAGTCGCGGCGGCATCAGCCTCAGCCTCCTTGGCCTCGACATCTGGGACAGCTGCAGCACCGTTTGTCTCGGTCTCCTTGATTTCCTTAGTTGCTTCAGCTTCGGCCTTTGGTGCTTCCTCCGACTTGGCCTCTTCCTCCTTGTACTTGGAGCCTACAGCGACGGCAGCTACAGCTGCGGCGGCGATCGCTGGGATAGCCAGTGCTGCTGCTGTCTCCTCGGTCTTTGAAGCGCCAGCCTTTGCTTTGGCGGCCTTCGCCTTTGATTTCTTGTTCTTGCCCTTCTTACCGGCAGCAGCTGCAGGTTCGGCGGTTTCGGCGACAGCTTCGCTCGCTGGTGCCTCCGTCTCGGCAACTTCAGCCTCTGGCTCTACCTCGCGTGTAGTCTCCGCAGTCTCGGCAGTTGCAAGTGCAGCCTCAGAAGCTTCAGCCTCGGCGGCCTTTTCTCTTGTTGCATGTGCCTCTGCCAGAACCTCCTTAGGCACTTCCGTCACAGTGACGGACTTGTCATCGGTGGCGGCGGCAGCAGCAACAGGGGTCTCCTCGGCGGTAGATTTTTCGGTGACCTCCCTAGCATCTGCCTCGGGTGCCTCCTTCACAATTTCAGTCCCTGTTGCTTGGACAAGGATGACATCTTCGCCATCCTTGCCCTTGCTGGCGTCAACAGTGACATCGACCTTAACATCGCCCTGGGGTGTTGCAACGATGACATCTGACACCTTGGCTTCAGCATGTTCTTTGTTGTCAGCAACATCCTTCTTCAGCTGCTCCGAGATATCCTTCATCACATCGCCGCTTGCCTTGACAGCGATACTCTTAGCGGTGCTCATAGCGTGATCCGAGGCCATCTTGCCAACCATTGCGAGTGCAGGAACGAGAATTCCTGGTGCGACCATAGTCGCGGCTCCGACGGCAATAGCAATAGCTCCCCTGTGTGACATGTTAGTCATTACAAATCAGTGAATAAGGTTCGTGTGAATGTGAAACTTACTCAGCAATCATCTCTGGGTGTTCTTTAATCGCCTCTCCGACATCCTGGACGCCTTCGATGACCTCTTTCGTAACAACCTGCACAGCGTCGGCGATTTTCTCCATCAAGGTTTCGTCATCCTTGTCAGTAATCGTAGATGCAACTTCTTTTGCGAGGTTGTTATAGATGTCTTTTGCGTCTTCTGCTGTCTTCGCCTGCAGTTCCGTCGCCACAGCTGCCACACCTGCTGCTACTGATCCGCCAGTCTATTTTAAAGTAATGAGTAAATGCCATATTGGTTTTTAGATAGATGTAATAAACTTACAGTTTGTACTACTGCTGCGTCAACAGCTGGTGCAGGCGTTTCTTTTGCGGCTCCATCCTTTGCTGCGTCTGGTGCTGGAGTTGCCTCTTTGTCGACAGGCGCCACTTCCTTGGCTCCCTCCTCGGCAGGTGCTGCTTCTGTGGCTGGAGTATCCTCCTTGACTGGTGCAGCCTCCTTTGCTGGGGCTTCCTCCTCGACGGGAGCAGCCTCCTTCACTGGGGCTGCATCTTCAGCTGGAGTAGGCTCGGCCGGTGTGAGCACCTCCGGTGCTACTTCCTTTGGTGCTTCTGCCGCAGGTGTTTCTGCTACAGGAGCCTCTGGTGTTGGTGCTGGTGCCTCCTCTTTGGCGGGTGTTGTCTCCTCCACTACAGGAGCCTTCTCCTCCTCAGCTGGAGGTGCTGCCTCAACAGGGGCAACCTCCTCAACAGGAGCGGCTTCCTTAACGGGAGCCACTTCGACTACAGGCTTCTCCTCGACGGGAGCCTCCACCTTCTCCGGAGCAGCCTCTGGTACTACAGGAGTTGTCTCTTTATCCTGTTCCACAGCAGTAGGGGCCATATCCGTGACCGTCTCCGGGACAGCTTCTGCAACAATATCTTTGGTCATAATCCACAATCACAGCTCTCTTTGGGCAGTGAAAAAGCAGTATGAAGAAGAGAGAAAAGGCAGCAGCAAGGAAAACAGCAGAGACGGCAGCTTTGTAAACAAAGCTGGGTCCTCTCGGGGTCGCCTTCTTCCTCGCAGATTGCGTTGCATGGGGGGAGCTCCATTGGAGGCGCCCCCGAATCCTTATCGGGTTAGGCGAATTACCTGATTAGGCTAAGTTTAGTTGACAGCGAGGTGGGGTCCAGCAATGACCCTTGAGATCGCTCCGAGCCGAGCATGACGCTAGGATTATTTAGGGATAGCGCATGAACTTGGCACTTTTGTGCTATGCACGTGATGGATCTAGTGAAGTGTACAATCTCTCGTGTGTCTCGTTTACCGCTTCTCTCCGTACTTTCGTTCGTCGTTGATTCTCCTTAGCAAACTTGGAAATATAAAACATAAAATATATGAAAAACGTGCATTGCAGCAGTCTAAAATGTGTTGCAGATTCTATTGCATCATGCATGACAAGATCAAGGCGTCAATTGCTTCATTGGCCGTAAATTGTCCGCAGTTGCCGCCCATTTCTAAGACACGGCCGTGATGGTCCCATCCCAATATGTACAGGAGGTACTGCTAATCTATGCGTGGGGTGCATATTGCGCTCGTCCCCCGCTAGTTTCCCCGATAGGATGTCATCCCCGACTATTTTGTACAGTACAACTCACCGACAGTTACTGTAGGAACAGGATTTTCCAGTTCTGGGAGACGCGATGAGGTTCTTGCCGTGAATGCATGCTTTAAGTGGTTGCAGCTGGCCGAGGTACTCGTTGTTGCTAAAATACCCGTGATGGGAAGCACGTGGAATTTTTCCAGTGTCTTTATATACTCCTCACCGCTAGTACAGACAGGACCAAGACGAATTGTGCCAATTGTACGAATTGTGACCTTTTCCCCGTATAGTGCTGTACAGTACGTATAGCACTGTCGATCCTCAGCTGCATCATGTCTCTGGATTCCTGTTATCTTAACCCCGCGTATCGAAAGGGGGGCAATACTACCCTACTCGTCGAGTTTTTTCGGAACGAATATGATCTTTCTTGCCACTAGATTATCATTGCATTTAACGCCCTGAGACATCGGGAAAGGTTGCTACAATTATATCAGCGCTTCCCCATCATGTGCTTTACTTCTGTGGCGGTTCTGACCCAGCTGAGGGGTTGACGACGGCCCAATGGCTCGCTGAATTTATGGTTGTTTTGAAACCTATTTGCTACATATACCTTAAAAGTCTCAGCCATACACCATCATACTCCATCTCGACCAAAAAAAACCTCAACCATTGCTTGGCCAGTCTCATGTATTATCACATATTTTGGTGAAGCGTCTCACTCAGTCAATACGACTGCACTGAAGTGCAAATGTGTCAATGAGGTAACTCCTAATTCTCTTCCGTCGTTCTTGCCAGTTCTATATGTCATTTCCCTCCCTCGTTCCTGCCATTCTTATACCTCAAAAAACTCCCATGGTTCCTGCCAGTTCTATACATTAGACGCCTCTTATCGTTCCCTGCCAGTTCTATCCATCACTCATCTCCCATCGTTCTTGCCAATTTTATACGTCAGACATCTCCCGTTGTTCTTGCCAGTTTTTTACCTAGCTCATCACCCATCGCTCTTTCCAGGTTTATACATCGTATATTCCCCATCGTTCCTACCAGTTTGATATATCACCCATCTTCCATTGCGCCTGCCAGGTCTATAGATCGCTCCACTCCCGTCGCTACTACCATTTTATACGGCAAGCATCTCCGATCGTTCCTGCCATTTTATACTTCACTTGCACGTTGTTGTGAATCCGCTCCTATTTTTTAGTATCTGCAATATTGTGTTCTAAATCACAAAAAAACGCTGTTGCTTGACCCCGTTTCCATCCCATCTTACCTCGCTGTACTGTTCAGTTTAATCAGTCATCCACCACCACCATGGTCTCCCTTCTCAAAGGTTCAGCTTTTTTGACTGGTGCTGGCTCAGGCATAGGTCGTGCCACTGCCCTCGCATTTGCCAAATACGGTATCACGCGCCTCTCCCTAGCCGACCACGACTCCTCCTCCCTAGCAGCCACTTCCAAACTCATAAAAGCGGTGTATCCTTCGATCCAGATCTTACAGCACTCTCTTGACGTCACAAATGAATCGAAGGTCCAAGCTGCTATTGCCAAAGCGGCTATTGAGTTCGGCCGCATTGACGTAGCCGTCAATATCGCTGGTATCAGCCACAGTGGTCTGACCCATGATTGTAAGACAGAGGAGTGGAGGGAGGTGTTGGGGGTTAATCTTGATGGGTTGTGGTTTTGCCAGCGGGAGGAGATAAGACAGATGCTGGCACAGGAGTGAGTGGCAATGTCCAATCCTAAGCTTCGTTTCAGCAAATTTCCTATACAGTGAGTGAAGTTACGATCTAACCAACCCCCAAAAGAGACCGCGGACCAAGAGAGGGAAGAGGTTCAATCGTCAACATCTCCTCAGTAGCTGGTCTTGTTGGCGGCGGCATAAGCCCCGCCTATACAGCTTCCAAACATGGTACGTCCAACTATCCATCACCCCAAAGCCACTGCTCTCTCATGCTCTTGCACTGACATACTAAAAGCCGTAATCGGCCTCACCAGAAACGTAAGTTCACTCAAACTCCTTACCAAACACAGCTCTAACGTCGATCAGGACGCTGCCACCTACGCTCCCAAAGGTATCCGCGTCAATGCTATATGTCCCGGGTTTGTCATTCCCCATATATGATCACTAGTCTCTTATTAACAAGTCACACAGTTGGACGGCTACGCCGATGGTTGAGCGCTTCCAGAGCCAGTTCCCAGATGAAGTAAAGACATCGGTGGCGACGGTGCCGATGAGGCGGATGGCGGAGATGGAGGAGGTTGCGGATGCGATTGTCTTTTTGGGGAGTCGGATGGAGAGTTTTGTGTGCGGAGCGGCGGTCCCAGTGGATGGGGGATTTACTGCTATTTAAGGCTATGGGACCGCCCAAGTCGCGAGGCTGTTCTTTTAGAGAGGGGAGGGGTTTTGGCTTATTATTATTACTACAACATTTATAGCTATTACTACCAACAACGAAGATGATGGACGACTGCGGTTGCAAGGTTATGCCCAGTTAAATCTAAAATTTGTGCTTTATAAGGCGCCTCGTATCTGGTAAACAGATCGCAAAGGTTCTTTAAAAACTACCGCAGGATTGGAGAGAGGAGGGGATAAAGGGACTGTAAATTAGAGATGGGTTGCTCAACAAGAGACAATCCACACAGTGGAGGAGCTTGACGATATGACTGGCGAAATAATTTCAAGGATGATGGGACACATCGGTAGAAGCAGAGCGTATGGACTTTAGATGAAGAACACACAGAGATTGATTTCGAGCTGGGGTGGTGAGAAAAATAAGGGGTGGCGAGAATTGAGAGTGGCAAGAAGGGGGTGGTAAGAAACCGCGTAACCATGACCTGACTAGTCATACTTTTGTATGGCATGCTCTTGCGGATCAAAACCTCTCCCTTGAGGGCAGCCCAGTCAGCTATTATCTCTGCAATTTTTGCTTTCTGCCCGTAGTTTAACATCTGTGCTGCCCCGACAGAGGCGACATTCTTATCCTCCTCTTCTTACTGCGCCAACCTTCTCTCATGTTGTATACCGTAGCGAACTATGAATTATCTTGTGTCGTGTATCAACGCCGCTATTACGACACTGAGAAAATGTAAGACGCAGAAGGAGTAAGAGATAATAGGGGAACACTGTCGAGCTGAAGCTCATCCTAACCGGGGATCTTGCCTTTGGAGCCACTTGCGCCCATCTACTCTTATGTTGTACACCACGATTAACTATGCTGTGTCGCACATAAATACTCCCATCGCGGCACTGAGAAATGAGTAGACGATTAACGACACGGCATTCGAAGCTCACACTTCCGAACTGAAGCTCATTCTAACCGGGACATTGTCTCAGGAGGCTTCATCTCGGTGGAGGAGGAGACGGAGAAGGAGATAGAAAATGGGAGGTGGGAAGGGAGATAGGTGGTGAGAAAGGTGACTGGCAGCGAGAAAGGGGTGGTTAGAAGGGGATGGTGAGAAGGGGATGGTGAGAAAAGGGTGGTGAGAAGGAAGGGGTGAGACGCGAGGGCCAAAACAAAAAAGGAGATGTAGCAAGAGGGAGAAGGTTTGTTGGAGATCGACGTGAGGAAGCTAGCGCCGAACCGTTGTAGCGCTGTCATAGTCAGATTTCTCTGATATTAAAAATTATTAGTTATCTTAACAACTAGTCTATATACAAAGTCATATATCGTAACTTGAAGCAGGGTTCATGGGTAGCCTTCTGCACAGTAGAAATGAATTCCTGTCTTGCAAGATGATACCCGAAATATCTCCAAGATCCAGTTCGCCCGCCAAATCCAAAATCACAAATCTCCATGGCCATCCTCCTAAGCCTCCTGTGACAAGAGCGGGGTCCGTTCACCTTCCTCCACAGCAGCATCTCGCGCGGCCACCTTGTCTTCTTCGCAAGCCACATACGTAGCGTAAATAGCAGTCGGGTAAAACAGGACTCTAGATATCCCATCAGTATTTCGTCTCTGTGATTGCGAGGAAAAAGTGAACTTACAACAAAGCAAACCCAGCAATAAACGCCCTCACAACACGGAGAAACCTATCGTTCGATGGCTCCCTGTACCTGCCACTATGGTCCGCATACGCGCTATCCAACACAAGCCACAGCCACATAGCCGTCGCAAGCAGCGACTTGGCGGCTTCTAGGACAAACGATATTTTTGCGGACAGGCTTGGCATGCGGTCCTGGATGAGGAGGATGAAGAGGATTATAGTTGCGAGGAGACCGTTGACGGTGTATGTGCTTTGGGGAGTTAGCGTGGTAAGGCAATATAAAGATACGGCGGGGGGGAGCTTACAGGAAGCGGTATACGGTTTCGTAGTTATCCCATAGCTGGACGAAAGCGAGGAAACCGAGGGTGAGGGCGATGGGGGTGGTGAGGAGGGCTTGGAAGAGGCCGGCGGCGCGGAGGATTTGGTTCGTCATTGTTCTGGTTCTGGAGGATTTGAGATATGTCAGTTTGAGGACGACTTTGTAGAGGATTCATTCCCGGTGATGTGGTTGAGGTGGGACGAGGAGAAAACCTACGAAGGCGGGCTCATTAGATCGATATATTAAATGTGATTTCCCCTGGCTCGTAACGTGTACGGATAGGCTTGAGGGCGGCAGTAAATCCCGGAGCTATTGCTCTCGACAGCACTCTCAAAACCACGAGATAAGAGGCTTCCTGGCGTGTTGGATCTGTTGCTCGACGAGGTTTCAAAGCTGCATGACGACCGAGGACAGGGACTGGGCGCTTTGGGGAGGCTTGCCTGGACGTTACCTAGAACAGGGGTATGCGTATATCACGTGAAATTAGTGCCTACATCGGGACTAGGGTGGTCGGGAAGTGCCTGGTGGTGTCAGGAGAGACCGTGCTTGCATTAGACACTGATCCACACAGGGGTCGAGGTCTTGTCATCGTCCTTGATTGTGAACACTCTTGCTTATTACAATGCACCTCATGAATCATGGGTATAATGGGCATAATATGCCTCGTTTTAAAACTCTGAAGGGCGTTTATACATATAGAGAGTGCTGCTTACTATCTATTCTCCGATAATTCTCCGATAGTGCATCCAGCGGTGTGAGTTTCGGCAGTTGTGCACTGTGAGAACTTGGCCTAAGTTAACGATGTAGTACAGACAACAACCCCAAGGCTTTTTCAAGCAAATCCAAATGTCAAAGCTGAACCCAGCATCGACAGAGCTCAGTCCACTACTATAACAAGGTTGGGCGTGCACGTACGCTAGGGCTGCAATGACACACTGTGGCGCGTAGCTCTGAGCCAATAACGATGGGACCAACGTTATTATTGGTGGTGTGCCATACCGCCATCACCAACACGTCCCCAGTTCTCTTTGCGGAATCCCGCCTCATGATGTCTCAAGGCATCTGAAACTCCCTTGCCTTTGGCCGTCCAGCGTGATCCGGTGTCGGTGCGCGCGTATTTATTCCCCATGCCGCAATAGATCCGCAATCACAGCTCGGCATTGGGGGATGTGGCTGGTTCTCCAGCGTCCCGGGTTGCTGTACGTTCTCGTGTCTTTAAATGCATCACTACCCCTTGACTTGGGAAGCTTGGTAATCTTGAATGTTGCCTTGATATATACTTTGCCTGGATGTCTCCGTCGCGAGTCCCCCTCATCGACTCTTTTCAACTTGAGTGCCGTGATGTCCCATGGTACCGTTGTATGTTTATCACCCCTCTTCTCCTTGCATGCGCGTTATTAGTTAGACCCCAATTTAGTGATTTGACGGTGTCGAGGGGTCAAGTGCTTTTCGATGCCAGCGTTGCTTTATTCCCTCACCATAGCCACTTTAGTTTCAACTCGGATATATGTGAGCAGGGTAGATGCTAATGACATTTATAGCATGATATTATTTTGCCACCAGGCCTCACACGAGCAGAATACGATGCACAAACGCGAGTGCCCTTAATTCTTGCTGGGAACATCACACCCTTCCTGGTAGCAACTATTTTTGTCGTTGCGCGCTTTTGGTCGCGCCAGATCTTAAAAGGGTCATGGGCACAAGATGACACCTGGGTCTTTACATCATGGGTTCGTGTCTCTGCCGTGTCCTGCCTCCATAGTTTTCCGCAAATCGTACTAAAATCTCCGCAACAGATTGGATCTTTGGCCCACACACTTCTCAACTGCAGTATAACATTCTACGGCATCGGGCGCCATTTCACCGTCCAGCTTCCTCAAGATGCCGTTCGCGTTCTCGTGATAAGCTACGCCACACGGTTACTATACCAATGCATTCTTGCCACCACCAAAATTGCGATCCTGACCCTATACCTCCGAATATTCACAGATGCCAGGAGTCAATGCATGGTGTATGGGATGATAAGCTTTGTTGTGCTCTACACAATTCCCTGTCTCCTCCTGCTGATCTTCGAGTGCACTCCTTTCTACGACTCTTGGAACCCCTACAAGTTTCCGCAGACATGCATAAACCTCACCATCCAGGTGTACATGTCTGCAAGTTTTAACATCTTCCTCGACCTCCTGATGGTCGCTTTTGCCGTACCACGCGTCCGTAGGTTCTTCACTCCCCCTGGAATATACTGGGGTTTGGTCTAACTTAAGCTCAAACATAGTGCCCCTTAAACTTCCAAGGCTGCAGAAAACCGGACTTATTGCGATTGCATCTCTCAGCTCCCTGGTCGTCATCTCATCGGTCGTTCGACTTATCCGTATCAGCACGTTGAACACAAGCAAGGATCTGCCATGTACGTCTCCTCTACTACCATTCCATGGCTCTCCCATACTAATGCGCATTAGGGGACTCATATGACTTTACAACCTGGTCCTCGATCGAAGTCAACATCGGCCTCTTCTGCGCGACTGCCCCAGCTATCAGGCCCGCAGTCCGCGCCATGAAGGATGCTCTCCGGATGAACTCATCGCCTACTACGAGCCAAGGCGCAAGGTTCCCCACTTCTATGAGCGGGGGCCTGGAACTAGAAGACGGCGAGGCCTTCAACGGGACACCACCGGCAGTGCCGGCGAATAGGTATTGGATTACTAAGAAGGGGCGGGTCACAGATCGGGAGCTGAGTGACGCAGATAGTTCGAAATGCGTGCTTGATTCCGTATCGACGACTAGGTCCCCTGAGAGTGGGAGGACTCGCAGCGCAACAGAGAGCGATGGGGAGATGGGGCAGAGGAGGGCGAAGCAGGGAGGTGGGACGCTTTTTGTATAGATACCCCTGGGTGGCAGTCGTCTGTTTTTGTAGAGCTTTGGCGCAGGTTTTTCTTCTTGTTACATACCCTATCTTGCATCATTTAGAATTACAGTATTAATCATGAATAAAAGAATGTTAATGATGAACCAAGGGTTATTAATCGTGAACCAAAATTGATGATAATTAAATATCAGTGTCGCGATCGATGTATCCCTCAATTAATGTTTTCAGCACGCTCAAGATTCCAAGGCCAGTTCATACTCGGGGTTCCGGTACGAAGTTCATCGTGAGGATCTCCCGATATGTGCCTTATCTAAGCCAGTCGAATCCCAAACCATATAAATAGCTTGTTGGTTAATTTGCCCCGCCAAATTGCGCGCCCGAAGGATGAGCGATCATCACGAACGCGTAAACTCAGCAAACTCAATGCTGGTGGTTCATACCACCCACCATCTTGGGCATAATGGGCGAGCGCAGCGATACTTGTAGTACCCGACTCGCAGCGACAATCGCACTCAAGTTGGAAAGTGCCCGTTTCACCAAATGACGGAGACGGCGGTATGGACGACTTACTTCAGTAAGCCGTCGATACGGCCGAGTATCAAGGTACAGTAAGATTTTAGCAGTCAACACGAGGGTATAAGCATAAGTATGATGATCAATGCAAAATTTCTTCTTCGTATTCCATCTTCCATATTTCAACATCTCTTTCTTTCTGTTTTAATTATTTTCACATCCTACCCTCACACGCGACGACCCTCTCGCCGCCAAAAACCAGAAAGATGACATCCCCCCTCTCCACCACCATCCCCAACACCGGCATCCCCCTCAACATCCTCGTCATCGGTGCCGGCCTAGCGGGTCTCTCCGCCGCCATCACACTATCACAGACAGGCCACGATGTCACGGTGCGTTGCGTTCAGCCCCCTTTCACACACGGCCCCTTTCCCGATCTCCGCGGTGGTGCTGGTGGCGTAGGCGCTAATGCGTGCGTGCCCAGGTCCTGGAGCAGTCTGAGAGTAAGAGGGAGGCGGGGTATATGATCGTCATGGGCTCGAATGCGATGCGTGTGATTAATAAGATTGGTATTTCTCTCTCTCGGTCCCTTACCTTACCCCCTTTGTCGGGTTGCGCGTATGGGGGGTACTATTGTGGGGTTTTGTGTTAATTGTGTTGTGAAGGCGTTGATGCGAAGAAGGCAGGTACCGTTGATGTGGACTTTGTGAGTGTCGATCTGTGATGTGATGTGATTGTGGCTTGGGCTGAGAATGGGTAGATTGAGCGTCGGGATTACAAGACGTTGGAGCTATTGTCGAGTTTGGATGCTGCGAAGGTGGGTTATTGGATTCATGTGGACAGACGGGGTGGATAGGGGTAATGCTAATAATGATGGATGGATTTCAGGATCCAAAGGCACCTGCGAAGTCGTATTATCGCCCTGACTTGCACAATGAGCTAAAGAGAGTTGCGCTTCTCGGGTTAGGATGCAAAGCCGCGAAGTTGGTTCTTGACGCGAAAGTCGTCAGTGTGGTAAGTCTTCTTTGCGAATGAGCCAGACGCAGGAGCAAACCGTCTAATTCAAGAAAGGACATCAACAATGCAAGTGCCACACTTGCCGACGGGAGGGTTTTCAAAGGTGATGTACTAATAGGCGCCGACGGCGAGCGTGTAAGTCGTGACTCCATCCTATATGAGACCGCACCGTCACTCACACTCCCCAGTCAATCGTCAAATCCTCCTTCAGCGAGCCCGGCAGCATCCAACAAGCCCCCTTCAAAATCTTCCGCTCCCTCGTTCCCACCTCCGTCTTCCTCTCTGACGAGCGCACCCGCCGCGTCCTCGACCTCTCCCACAACCGCTTCCTCATGTTCTGCCACCCCACCAACTCCCTCGTCTCCGTCCTAATCGGGCGCAACAGCGACCTCATCGACATCGAATGCGGTTACCGGCGTCGCAAAGGTGAGAGGGCGATAGATGTGTCTGACCAGGCAGCGATCAGGGCAAGGCTCTTGGAGACGTTCAAGGAGTATCATCCGGATATTAGGTGTGCGATCGAAACGGCGACGGTGACTACTGATTGGGAGGTATGGAAGTGCAAGCCCCAGAAGCATCTGGCGCAGGGGAAGGCGGTGCTTACGGGCGATGCGGCGCATTCTATGGAGCCGACGACTGGGCAGGGTGGGTCGCAGGGCCTTGAGGATGCGGGGGCGCTGGCGGTGTTTTTGAGTAATATTGGGAGCAAGGATGAGATTCCGCATCGTCTGGAGCTTCTTGCGAAGATGAGGGGAGAGCGCACGGCGAAGGTGGTGGCGCTGTCGGGGGTGAGACCTGGGGAGGAGGAGATCATAAGGAAGAATTATCCCAGACATGCGATTAATCGGTCGAGTATTAAGAATGGGGTTGAGCATATTGTATTTTTGTATGAGTAAGTTTGATTGACACCCCTTTCCTTTTTGAGATTTGTGGTGGCTTCCCATGGAGGCGCAGAAGCGGAAGAGATTGGCTGACTTGACTGCAGTTATGATGTGATAGAAGAGAGCAAAAAGACGTTGCAAGCGGCTGCGACGCCGAGGGCCAGCCTTTAAATCTTTCAAGTTGAGTAAAGGTCGATATACATGGATGTAGATGGCAGAATTGATCGTTATTATGTCAGCTCCTTCACTGTGTATGCACTACGCAAACCTCATATATGATACGTTTCAAACAGAGAGCAATGTAAAAATACTCTTTCCGGGGCATCAAGACGTTATAACCTACAGAGCATATCTTACATGAGTGGGGGTCCCTAACCACCTTGCCCCTTGGAAACGGTCAGAAGAACGTATGACGCTCCTGGCACTACTGATATCCCTGACGCTGATATTCCCAATGCTGTCTATCCCTGATGCTTAGATGGACCTCTGCACGTCATCTAAAATGGTACGATGCATGTTGATTTCAATCAGTTCCATAGATTGTATACCACCGTGCTACTCTCGCCACCATTACCATTGCTGCTACCGCCCCCTCTTCTCATCGCCATTACTATTATTGCTACCCCCGGCTCTTCTCACCACCACTATTATCACCACCACTTTAGCAACGGAACGCCGTCATGTGACGTTCACAAGTTCAGATCGGCGTTGACCAGGTAGAACTCGACCTTAATGGAGCTCTTCATCCAAGAGGTAGAAACTTGATCTATTGTAGGAGGTTTTTGTAGTTAATGCACGATGCTTTGGTCGGCTATCGTACTGCGCACTTCAAAGTCAATGCATATATCAGATAGTATTTTACCAGTTCGCTATATACCAAATACTAAGTATACCACTGTAGCACTCGTATCAGAGCCCAGACATAAATCATCACGACATAACAAAATCAAACCAGCTCCAAGGCCAAGGGGTATCCGCCTCACCAGTCCAAGCTCCCCCATCGCCAACCCCTCATAACCCAGAAAATCACTCAAACAATTTCACCTCAAACACACCCATCAGCTCCATCGCTCTCCCTACTCAAACACCTGAACCCTAATCCCATGGCTCCCCTTCCTCACCAACGGCAAAAAGCTATCCCCATCCAACACCACATCCCCAATCCACGTATCATACAACCCCATCACGCCCTCATCCCCCTCATGTCTCACGCCCTCATACAAAACCCCCTCCTCCGTCTCCCCCTTCACACTCCCAAACCTCACCCATAACGAGCTAATAACAAGATACAATTCCGACCAGCCCAAATGCATACCCAAGCACTGCCGACTCCCCCGCGTAAAACTAAGGAGGTACTTATCCAACCCCTGGTTCAGCTCGCCATTGGAATTAAGCCAGCGCTCCGGAATCCATTTATGGGAGTCAGGGAAGATCGACTCGTCGTGGTGCAGTTGCGCGACGGACATACCCACCGGCGTATTCCTCGGAATGACCCACTCCCTCCCCGTCCTGCGATCAGTGAAAAATAGCGGCTCTTCAGCGATCCTCGCCAATCTACCCGCGACACCATAGGTAAGACGCAGCGACTCTTTAATAACCGCATTCAAGTACGGGAGCTGTTCCAACGTCACCAGCGGGGTGGGGGCATTGCGGTCCGGGATAGCGGCGCGGAGCTCGGCTTTGAGTCTGCGCAAGGCGGAGGGAGTGCGGAGGAGGTAGAATGTGCTTAGGTCTAGTGTCCAGGCTGTGGTGAGGGTGCCGGCGAGGACGAGGACTTCGGCTTCATCTGAGAGGCGGCGGACGGATTTCTCTGATTCGGGTAGTTTGGAGTCGAGGATCTCGTGGAAGATTGTGGCATGGGAGAGGTGCTGGTTGGATGAGTTGGCCCCGGTTTTGATGTCGGTTATTTGTTTGACGATGTGCTGGGGGTGTGTGTTAGCGGATGGAAAACTGGGTTGAGTGGGGGATGGGAGGAGGACGTACGCGTCTCTGGGCTAGAAATGCGGCGAGGAGGGGGTGGGCGAGTCGGGTTAGTTGGTCGGGGAGGGATTGGAAGATGGTGTTGAGCCAGGGGGCGTGCTTCATGAAGTTTGCGGCTGTGGAACCGAAGAAGCAGCCGTCGCGGTTGGCGCGGTCGAAGTCAGGACGCTCTATTTATTTTTGTCAGTGGTGATAAATATGATAGACGAGCAAACGTTTCATACCAAGTCGATGATCGGATCTGGCAAATGCGTATTGCATGACAACATCTATACTTTGTTAATTACAGCGGTTATTGGGATTGGGTTCTAAGCTTACCGCTCGTGAATGCTGCATAGAGCCAGCTAACATTGAGAACTTCTTCGCTTTCCTTGAAATCCCTGATCCTTTCCAGCATGGTTGAAACACGCTCCTGGATGACTGGCTGAAGCTTTCTCACATTTTGCTGTGAAAAGAATGGATTGAGCGCAGCCCTCCTGTATTTGTGCAAGTCGTGGTCTATGGTTGCGAACATGGAGTAGTCCATTCCAAATGATTCATAAAACAGAGGGTATTTGTTCCGCTTTCTGTTGCTAGCGCTGCTGGCATACACCTCATCGTAGAACTCGGGGTCTGAGATGTGGAGCTCGAATGGGGTAATGCGGATGATAGGTCCATATTGCTTATGGAGCTCGATGAGCTTGAAAGTATACTTACCGCCAAGGATGAGATCGTAGTAGAGTTCATACCTAGCAACGACTATTAGAATATATGTCAAGGCGCGCAGGTATTAAGTGGTCTCACCAAGATGTCAACGCGGCAATTTTTGGGCCTGGGAATTTGCTCAGCGGACTGAGGAACAAACGATAAATTGCTCCATAGATAGTGTATAAAGTCACAAGAATGATGAGCAGAGTAATAACGGCATGGTTTTCCCAGTCGAATAGCTCCATGGGTACAAATTTGGCGACGCCGAAGTGGTCTGAGGAGATTTTCTCAACGTGATAAAGTCACAGTACTAAGAACAACGATACTCGAGAATAGTATAGCAAAACAACAAAGAGAAAATGGGCGGACATATATTACGGAGATATATGGCCATGCGAGGGGCACAAGCAATATAGACAAGGAAAAAGAGAAGGGAGGTGATAAGTGACACATATTCCGCCTACAGACAAACGAGAGGGTTGGTTGAAGAGGGTTGGTTGAAGAGGGTTGGTTGAACCCTGCGCCAGAATTCCAGGAGACTGGTTCAGGGTTCAGGAATTCCCCATAAGGTAGCCCGACCGGTCGGGCGCTGTTTGGAGACGGAACAGACAGAATTGGGAATAGAAGCGGGAAAGAGCGTGTGCCACAGAGCCAATAAGGTGTTCCGGGTGCCGTTGGAGGGATTTCCAGAAAGCTGGAAGGAGGGATCCGGGGTATACAAAGTGGGCGAAGTGGCTCGCACGGCCTCGATGGGAGGGATGCTGCTTGTTGGATACCAGCCCCAGCGGCTGTTGCTTTTAGCCAGATAGTAACCAACAAACAAGAGGTTGGTCGGCTGAAGATTCATTCTCTCGGATGCCACACACACCGATAATCTCACACAGCCGGCTCAGCTCAGCTCGGCTCGGTCAGCTTAGATCATCTTGGTCGGCTCAAGTCAGCGTCGATATATAAGCCCACACAGGGCTTGCCGACCAACCCACAGGCATAGAATTTTCTCGCTCATATACCGAGTGGGACCGAGTGTTTGACAGAAACAAAGGCGAAGCGATTGTCACATAAAGCCAGGCTTCCCGTAGGTGATTGAAGTGATCTCGAAGGTGACAAGTAAGGCCAAGATGTAGTAGCAGATGCCGCTAGCACCATTTCCGACAAAGACAATGCCACTGTCTCATTGCTTCCGGGTGTGATTGATTCGCTGAGACGGGAACGAGACTGGATGAGACTGGATGATCAGTACTGTACTGTTAGTCTTCTGTAGTTGGAAATCCGAGTCTTGTCTAAGAGTTAGCCACAAGAGCCACAATTTGAGGCTGGCCAAACGGAAGTGCATGGCTGGAGATCTAAAAGAAATGATGTGCGACGGGGATTTATAAGGTGGACACGCGCTACTGTGGTACCCATACAGTACTGGAAGAGCATTGATGCTATAGCAGTACTCATATAGTAGCACCGTACCATAGTAGTACTGTACTGACACCAATAGCTCCATACTCCGAGTACAATAAGACAGTAAGTGAAGAGATGTAAGACGGTGAGACGGTAAGACGGTAAGACGGCAAGACGGCAAGACGGTGACAGGTATCTAGCAAGGGGTTAATATCAGCTTCCTTTCTCCGCATTCCAGCTTATGGTTTTAAGGTACGTACATCCAGTGCGTAAGTGCCTACGTCGACCCATTTTTATCGATTCTATAGACACCCTAAGCAAGCTTCTATAAAGGTAAAATCTCATAGTATAAAAAAGCTAGGGACGCGATGTGATTTAATTATTCGATGTTATATAACTCACTATAAGACAAGACTTAGATACTCAGCTAAAGAGACAGCCTCGGCTCGTACTAATAAACCACGTACCCCCGCAGCACTCGCGATCTACGCCTCTTAGGGTATGGATCATTGGGCATTTAGAACCCTGGTACAGTAGCTCGGTGCGGGGCATTCTATAGAAATCGACGAGATCGAAAGTAGCTTCAGCAGTGGAGTAACTTAGGAATGGGTTTATGGCAGTCTGCCACGGAGTATATTGTAGTAGGGCTTATCGATAAGAACACAATGGATCATCTCAGACATTGGCTGTTATGTAAGCATGAATTTTGTCTCCATCGAATCTCGAACCTCCTTAAACTTGTGCCTGAGAGATTCACGGCTTTCGGGGTAATTATTGGTGTTCTTCTACGTACGCAACTTGTATACGCAGACTGCGTGCGCAACCGATCGCAGCCTGAAAGTTCTCTGGTTTTCTGGTTCTCTAGCGGATCGGCGCGCATGTCAAAAATATTTCATGTGATAAACGAGGGACAACGACCATATAAAAAAGGTCCACAAACATCAACCCTCAAATCCCAATCGCAGGTTGAAAACATAATTCACCCAGTATAATCTCTCCTGACACATCATCATGTCCAGCACCCAAGCGGCCAGCAAGGCCGACTTCGATGTCATCATTATAGGGGCAGGCATCTCCGGTATCAATGCCGCCTACCGCGTGCAAACCGAGCTCCCCAATGCCACCTACACGATCCTCGAGGCCCGCGACACCATAGGCGGGACCTGGGACCTCTTTAGGTTCCCCGGTATACGTTCCGACTCCGATCTCCACACTTTCGGCTTCGAATGGCGGCCATGGCAGGCCAAAAAGGCCTACGCCGACGGCCAGATGATCTTAGATTACATGAAAGACGCCGCAGCAGCCTACGGTATCGACGAGAAAATCAAATACCACCACCACCTCACCGCCGCTGACTGGTCCTCCGCCGATCAGCTGTGGAACCTCGAGGTCACTGCTAATGGCGAGCCTAAGACCCTCACCGCTCACTTCTGTATCATGAGCACAGGGTATTATGATTACTCCAAGCCTCTCGATGCCGACATCCCCGGTCTGGAAAACTTCAAGGGGACTGTCGTTCATCCGCAATTCTGGCCCTCAGACCTCGATTACTCGGGAAAGAACATGGTCGTCATCGGATCCGGCGCCACCGCCGTCACACTCCTCCCCGTCGTGGCAGAGACAGCTAAACATGTAACCATGCTCCAGCGCTCGCCCTCCTACATTCTCGTGCGCTCCTCAAACACCCTTCAAGAGCGCGTTATGCACGCCATCCTACCGCGCTGGGTCGCGCTGAAACTAGTCCGATGGACATGGATCATCCTCCCTTGGATCTTCTTCCGCTTCTGCAAAGCCTGTCCCGCGGCCTCCAAGTCGCTGATGATCGCACTGACGAAGATGCATTTGCCTAAGGGCACGAAGATGGAGCCGGATTGGGTACCATCTTATAACCCCTGGGAGCAACGCCTCTGTACCAGCCCTGATGCGGATTTTTTCCTGGGCTTGAAGACGGGGAAGTCAGATGTGGTGACAGGGACTATTTCCCAGGTGTCTGCTGACGCCATTAACCTCGATGACGGAAGGACCCTGCACCCCGATATCATCGTCACAGCCACCGGTCTCCGCATCTGCTTCGCCGGCGCGGTCACCATATCCGTCGATGGGGAGAAAGTCGATCCCTCCAGTAAATACATCTGGAAAGGGATGATGGTCCAAGACCTCCCCAACATAGCCTTCCCGTCCGGGTACCTTCACTCTTCCTGGACCCTTGGCGCCGACGCCTCAGCCATCATGACTTGTCGTCTCATCAAGCACATGCAGACCCAGAATATCAGCGCGGCGATTCCGAGGCTAAGCCTTGGAGGGGAAGAGGACATGGAGGATAGCTCGTGGAAGATGTCGAGTACGTATATGAGAAGGGGGAAGAGTGCGCTGCCGAGGGGAGGGGATAGGGGGGCGTGGTGGTCGAGGAATAATTTGTGGAAGGAGCTTGTTGCGGCGAGGTGGGGGAATTTGACGAATGGGTTGGAGTTTGTGGGGGGGTCGAGATGGGGGGTAGGTGGTAACTGAAGGAAGGGGTAGGAAGGGAGGGTTGGAAGGGCCATTCTTGTCTTCGATATTGCTTTGGACTCAGCTCAGGCCGGGTCGGTGTTGATACCCATATATAATTGGTTCTGTGGTAGGAAATAATACACGTATTTACCATATCAATAATTACCATGTCAGAGAGCCGCCCTGCATCCGAACCGCTCGCAACAGTCCCCACAATGCCTGGAATACATATATATATTGTCAGAACGTCTGTCATGGGAGTATGGAAGGTACGGCAATTCAAACGCGAGCAGAAGATTGCGATGTCGTGAAACAAAAATCCGTAAGAGAAAATGGCTAACAATCCAACAGGACCGTAGCTTCATTGATGATCTCCCGTGCGAATAGCAAGAAATAGGACGGTGGTGAGAAAGCAGATGTAGCGAGAAAGAGGAACGGTAGCTACAAGTCGGTGTGGTGAGAAAGGGGGAGCGGTGATATTTGGCGGACAACGAGACAAGCTGGCGCGTTGAGGCAGGCAAGGCCGCGCGGATCTGACAAGCAGTCTAGAAATGTTCTGGCACATCACCGATCGCGCTCTGGCATCTTTGAAGTTGGACTTATCTCAGTACAGACGGGACTTTAAAGTCACAAAGAAGGTGGTGGTGAAAAAGGGATACTTATGCGGATACATGCATCCAGACTGTCTCTGTCCTGTATCGCTGCCTCCAACACTGGAGTCGTACAAGAGCGGCTCAGCTTACCATACCCCTTCAGCAATTTTCAAACGTTTATTCCGAACGGGTCACATAAACTGACCCCTTACCTTATGTAGCTCCCGGTTGAAGCAAGGGCCCGATCGATTGAAGGGCGGGTCAGGAACATAATCACAAAGCACACCAGCAGTCACACCTGTACTACAAACGACGATCCACAGCAAAGACGCCAAGACAACAACGTCGTCTTCTCATGCTTTTTCCATTCTCCGATATATACGCCTCATTATGCTCAGGGTATCCCATTTGTCCCCGCTCCCGCCCGGAAATCATCGTAGACCACTAAATGCTAATATACAGTGTATGCAAGCCTGATAAAACTCCATCATCCCAATCACTCCTTCTCCACTGCAGCCGCATCCCCCTCCACCATAGTGGTATCATCGCCCTCCGCCACGGCGCTCACAGCCTCGGTTGCGCCCTCATCCTTCGCCACATCTCCCTCCGCCATAGTGGTATCATCACCCTCCGCCACGGCGCTCACAGTCTCTGGTGCACCCTCATCCTTCGCCACAGCGCTCACAGCCTCGGTTGCGCCCTCTGCCTCTTCAGCGACAGGGGCCTCTTCCGTCTCAGCAGCGTCGGTTTGGAAGATGTATTTCTCGAGCTCTTCGAACGTGCCGGTCAAGTCGTCGTTAATGAGGATCTTGTCATGGAAGCCTTCAATCTCGGCGTGTTTGATCTCCTCAGCCGCAGTCTCAAGTCTCTGCTTGACCGTCTCGTCGTCGTCTGTGCCACGAGCGCGGAGGCGCTTCTCCAGCTCCTCCATGCTCCGTGCGTTGAGGAAGATGAAGCGGGCGGGGTAGGACTGGTCTTTGAGCTGTTGAATTCCCTTTGTCTTGTCAGCAGCCGCTCATATGTAATAATTAGGGGAGAAAGATTCATACATGAAAGTCCATCTCCATAACCGGGACCTTGCCCGACGCCACGATCCCCTCGACGATCTTCTTACTGGTGCCGTAGTCATTGCCGTTGAAGTTGTTGAACTCAAGGAACTGGTCGCCATCGCGCATCATGGCGTAGGTCTCAGGGGTGATGAAATTGTAGTGCGTTCCATCAACTTCGCCTACCCGTGGCGCGCGTGTAGTGTGTGAGGCCTTGCGACCGAAGAGTTTCGGGTGTTTGTCGATGAGCATCGAGATGAGGGTGCCCTTGCCGACGCCGCCGGGTCCGGAAATGACGACGGGGCGTCGGTCGACAGGTGAGATATCACTCGTTCCGTCCATGTTGTCGATCGGGCTGCTCGTGTCTTTTTCGATCTCGATCTCAGCTACAGGTGGCTTGTCCTCGAAAATATAATCGATCTTCTCCGCGTCGTCTATCTTATCAAAGGCAGCTAGCTTTGTTTTGCTAGCGACTCTCAGAGCTCTCCAGGTTTTGCTTGCTTTTCCGTAGATGGCAGCTTCTTTTGTGTCGTCGTTGGTTGGCATGTCGATTTCCATGTCGTCAAGCGCGATTTTATCTTTGAAGCTCGCTAAAGGAGGTAATGAATAACGCGACGGATCCTTTAATCGCTCCATACCTATGATTCCGTCCGCCTCACTCAGAAATCCAAGTTCGAGCGAGCCCATCGGCTTCGGCCTTAGCCGTTTATTTGTAGTAATCTTTTTTGCTGTAGCTTTTGCGGCGAGGTACTCTTCTGGCGTCACGGCTGGCCTTTCTATAGATGGACAGCTTTCAATCTTCCAGCGCACCCAGTGCTTATCTCGTGATAACACTGTTTCAACCATCCGGTAGAAAAAAGGCCCGTCGTAGCCCTGTTTTAAATAGTCGGCTATAGATTTCTTGGTATCCACTGCCCATTTTACATCGTCGTCGCTGAGGATCTGATCTTGGTACATTACTGAGAGGTTTTGTTTGGTGGTGGTTGCTTGCTTCTCCTTCGCCTTGCTGCCGAGTGATATCAGGAAATCCATTATAATAAGTGCCTGAACCAAAATATGACGACGGAATGAAAGATCCTTGATCTCAAGTTCGAACAGGTCTCTGCTAGTAAGGTATTTGGGGTTGAAGATGTGGGCCAAGTCATCATCATCCTGTCGTCGCTTTCGCTTGGTGCCCCTATTTTCATCGTCGACAGGCTTGGAAGGACCGCGATTGTTTGATTCGTTCTGTACCGATCGAAACGCCGTAATCGTCGAAGTTAGCCCTTCTTTGAACTCTTTAAAACGCTGTGTGTCGAACAGTCCTTTTGGTTGACTGAAGCTCTGCTGCAAAGACCAGAAAATGGGGTATAGATCGTCAGAACTCAACGGCTTCTCTGATTGAGCAGTTGAAGCAGCATTAAAAGTAACCTTCTTGGCTTCTTCACTCATAGGTGTGTCTGCAGCGGGTCCTGTGGGCGTAGGTTTAACAGCCGCATCAACTTCCATCTGGTCCCCCTGGATTTCCCCTTTCGCAGGTATTTGGTCGAATGTTGTCACATTCTCAACATGGTATTCGCCCCTCAGATTCACAGAACTCTTGTCGCCCAGAGGGAAACTCTGGAACATGAAAATGAAAACCCGTCCACAGAATGCCGTGTCCTCCGCCCGTGAGAGTCGTCGTAGGAGCTCATTACAACTTCTCAGTATCGCCAATTTCTTTCCTGCGAAGTCCTTTGCAATTATGCGCTCCCGCCTTGACTCCAGGTAATCCAAAATCTTCCGGCACCCGGCGATAGTCTGGCTGTCGAGGAGTTCTTCGATGAGCCAGAAGAGCAGGGCTGGGTCGCATTGTCCGTCATCGGAGAGAGTCGATACGATATCCAGCAGATTCCACACTTGGACAAATTGAGGTTGTTCTATGGAATAAGTGGCCTAGTCCTGGTTAGAATTGGTCGACGTTCGCAAGTTGTAGGGATCCTCACCAGGAGATCGATAAAGGCGTCTCGGACAGCTATTTCGATAACCGCATATAAAGTTGATTTCTTCGTATCGCGTCTCTCCACAAAGTCTGGTAGCTCTTGGAGTCGTCGAAATCCCTCTTCAATGTCCGCTTTCAATATGGGCGGCTCGATACCGTTTGTTCGTTTGACTTCGCTGGCTTGCGCCAACATATCACCAAGGAGCCCCTTGCACTGATTGACCGCCTCCACTTCGAGAGCCGCCATAACGATTCATATGCGGCGCAATGCCAATCCCAAGTACTTGAGTTTGGATTGCGTCTGTTGTTGCTGAGTGAGGCGCAAGCTACTCGACAAATGCCCGATCCAGCATTCTTGAGGCTCTAGAATTACCTACTATCTGCGGGCGGCACTAGTCCAAACCTTAATTCACCAAGTCACATGACGTAGATTTTGGTGCTTGACCATCATAACGCGGTTCAACTTCAGATCATGAAGCTTAGCGTGTTGCGCAAACATCAATCGCCAACCGCAATTCCTCTACGATAATGGCGCCGAGGACAAGGGGCCCCGTGGAGCCTCGCAAGGAGGTGGATGATGGCCGGCCTACGGTCGCGGATCTCCAAGGCGAGAGTCCATTCGCCCAACTCGCAAAGAAACACTGGCTCAAGCCAGGCAAGAAAGCTGCGAAGGTCAAAATAAAGCCACAGGTGTTGAGGAAGGAAATTTGGGATGTTCTTGAGCAGGAGGGTTTCTCATATAAAACGCTCCTGGTTCTTGAGAATCTGCAAATCCTCGAGAGGTATGCGCATCAACAAGCCTTGTGTTTGCCCATACTAATTATACTGCAGCTACCTATGGCCTGGGTTTTCGGACGATGCATCCAATCACCATGTGCTCCTGATCGTTTTGATTTCTAATGTGCGCAGTCGGGAGCATTTACCTGTATGGAGTAAGTGAAGACCTCTGTCCCAACTGGTTCTTGGGTGGAAACTGACAATCACAGATATATACTCTGATAATCCTGCCGATTTTTCGTTATTATTTCGACGTATACTTTCAATGACTCTGGATAATACCCTTTCGCCAAATATACGAACACACCTTCTCTCTTTTATAATAAGCGCCTTCCAATCCCTAGACAGTGGCATTGTCCGGAAGGAATGCGCTCCGCTGGTGTCGATAGCCGTCTGGCATAACCTTTCAAGCGAGAAGAAGCGAAATAATAAACTGGATGAAAGCGTTCAGTTGAGAAAGGTCTGGAGGGCATCCGGCAAGCGATACGAGGCTGCAGATGATACGACGAAGGCAAGGCTCCGTTTCGAGAGGTCATGGCTGTACGCCATGCTGCTCGATTTCTTCAACCAATTGCATGACACAAAGAACAAATCAGACAATCTTCTGTATTGCGAACGTTTCCTCGAGCTGCTGTCCGACTTTCAAAGTCAGTTGCCGACCCGGAGATTTGTTAATACGCTGCTGCAAGATTTGAACACACTGCCCCTTATAAGGCTATCACCACTGTTCAACGACGAAGGCAGTGGGCTATTGCGAGATCTATATGGCTTGTTAAAGCATTACACGTACTTTTCCCTTGACGACCACACTGGGATCCAGTATACCGGAGAGGAGACATACGAGCGCCATTGCACGCAGCTTGGTCGTTTACAGCGCACTGCCCTTAAACACTACAAAGATAAGCTCACGATTCTTGCCTTATCAAATTATGGCTCCATCGAAAAGCGAGAAGACCTCGAGGGTCACCTAGAAACGTTGACAGATGATGAGTTAAAGGCTTATTGCGAGCTTCTTGATCTCCGTGTATCGTATCCAGACTCGGCCAATGTTGCGGGTGGCCGCCCGTTTTTACTGGAGGTTCTCGTGTCTACGTTTGAGAGACGGAAGACATTCCAGGACACAGCCCGTGATCTGAGTATTCTACCGACAGAAGAGACTTTGTTCGAGCCAACATTATTGCGGAATGAGAGCTACAATGGATCTCAGCCGCTAGCTCTGCCAAAGCTCAACTTACAATACTTGACTGTTGGCGACTTTTTGTGGCGCTCATTTATCCTGCACCGCTGCGAATCCTTTTTCGAGATCCGCAAAGATATCGAAGATACCCTTAAACGACTGCGGCCACAAACTAGCAGAACAGGAGAAACGAAGTTCGACGGGTTCTCAAAAATGGCACTGCCAATTTCGAAACCGGCTATTCTCGAGGTCGTACCCCCACTTGTCGGCGAGACGAAGCCTGCTGCCGTGAAGGCAGAGATCGCTCTGGATGTGAGCCGTCTTGCGGAGAATATACGTCGAGAATGGGAGTCGTTGCGGCCAGATGATGTAGTTTTTCTTCTGGCTATAAACCTTTCTAACCGTAGTAATCTGATCTCAAACGGCGAATCAAAAATTAGCGATCAGCAAAAACTAGGCATAAGGCATATTCGAGCTGCCGAGGTTACTCAAGTACTAGATGACAATGGGCGTCCTATGAGAGACTTCAACGGCCAGACTAATGGCCGTGGGCAAGCGCGGCTCCGTCGACTGCACATCAAACTCGACGCTGCTATGTACAAGCAGGACTTGGATAGCGCTTCGGCTGGCAAACCTGATGTCTACGAGTCAATCAATGTTATTGTGCGAAGGAGAGGTCGGGAGAACAACTTCAAGTCGGTGTTGGAATCTATTCAAAGCCTGACATTATCGGACGTTCCACTTGCTCCGTGGCTTCACGAGGTCTTCCTTGGCTACGGCGATCCAGCAGGAGCATCCTACCCGCAGTTAGCCAACAAGATTAAAAAGGTGGACTATCGCGATACGTTTCTCAATTGGCATCACCTGATTGAGAGCTTGCCTGGCAAGACGGTTGAGCCCAGCGAAGAGGCAAGCGGTAGCTTCGGTCCGCCTTACGTCCTTAACACTACAGAGAGCGTATCCGCGCCAACCCCTACCAAGCCTTCAAAGAAGAGACGTCGTGGTCAGGAGGATGTTCCAGCGAATGTTGCCCCTCCAGTTGTCGAAGTCTCTACTTACAAGCCGCCAAACACTGGGCCATACCCGATGGACGAAGTGAAACTTAATCACGTTCGTTTCACGCCAGCTCAAGTTGATGCCATTCTCTCTGGGACACAGCCAGGCCTGACTGTAATCATTGGCCCTCCAGGAACGGGCAAAACCGATGTGGCAACTCAAATCATCAATAACATATACCACAACTTCCCCAAGCAGAGGACTTTGCTTATTGCACACAGCAACCAAGCTCTCAACCAGCTATTCCAGAAAATTGTCGCTCTAGATATTGATGAGAGACATCTTCTTCGTCTGGGACATGGTGAGGAGGAGCTCGACACTGAAAGCAACTTCAGCAAGCATGGTCGCGTTGAGTCTTTCTTGGAGAACAGAGACAGGTATCTGCTTGAGGTGGATCGCCTGGCTGCAAATTTCGGTGCACCTGGAGCGCATGGTAGCTCTGCCGAAACCGCAGGCTACTTCAACTCCGTTTATGTCCAGCCTGCCTGGGCGAGATTCCAGGAGGCACTCAAAGATCCGGAGGTAACCAAAGAGACTGTTATCGAGCTATTCCCATACCACCACTACTTCTCCAATGCCCCGCAACCGCTTTTCCCTGCCGAGGCGGATAAAGCGGGCGTCATCGAGATTGCCAGCGGATGCAATTATCACGTCACAAAGATCTTCACCGAACTTGCCGATGTGAGGCCCTTCGAAATCCTTCGCCGGGATCGCGATAAGGCAAACTACCTTCTCACAAACGAGGCACGCATTATCGCCATGACATCAACGCATGCAGCAATGCGGCGACGAGAAATCGCTGATCTCGGGTTTCACTACGACAATGTCATCGTCGAAGAAGCAGCCCAGATCACCGAGATCGAAAACTTCATCCCCCTTGCGCTTCAGACTCCGAAGAACGGGATGATGCCCCTCCAGCGCGTCGTCCTCTGTGGTGACCACTTCCAAAACTCCCCGATCGTTCAAAACCTCGCATTCCGTCAGTACGCGAACCTCGAACAGTCGCTTTTCTCTCGTCTCGTGCGTTTAGGCGTTCCTACTGTCATTCTCGACAAGCAGGGTCGTGCTCGCCCATCCATCGCCGAACTTTACCAATGGCGTTACCCGCACCTAGGCAACCTTCCTCTCGTAGAGACTGGCCCAGAATTTCAGAAGTCGAATGCCGGGTTCAGATACGACTACCAGTTCATCAACGTCCCAGATTACAAGGGCAACGGCGAGTCCGAGCCGACTCCCCACTTCATCCAAAACCTAGGTGAAGCCGAATACGCCGTAGCAATCTTCCAATACATGCGACTACTCGGATACCCCGCCTCCAAGATCAGCATTCTAACTACCTACGCCGGCCAGCGCGCCCTGATCAAGGACGTACTCACCCACCGCTGCGCTAAGAACCCCATCTTTGGCCTCCCCAAGATCGTCACTACAGTCGACAAGTACCAGGGCGAGCAGAATGACCGTAAGTTCCCCCACCCCCCGCCCATAATTGCCAACTTCCACTAACCCATCTCCCTAGACGTCATCCTCTCACTCACCCGCACATCCCGCGTCGGCTACCTCCGCGACGTGCGGAGGTTAACAGTAGCCCTCTCCCGCGCCCGTCTCGGTCTCTACATCCTCGGCCGCCGCGAAGTATTCGAGTCCTGCTTCGAGCTTCAGCAGGCATTTGAGATTCTCTTCCGTCGCCCGGATAAGCTCATGCTCGTTACCGGCGAACTCTGGCCTTCGCAGCGGACTATCGCGGATGAGGCGGATGATGTGGAGGTTGTCGGCGTGACGCCCATGGAGGGGGTTGAACATCTGGGGCAGTACGTGTTTGAGATGACGAATGCGAAGGTGCAGCAGTTGCGGGCGGAGAGGGGGGTGGGAGAAGATGTAGATGTCCTGGCTGCCGTGGAGGAGATGGATGAAGGAGAAGAGGTTGCTCTTGATGGCGAGGTGGAGGAGGAGGCTACTGTGGATGGCTTTGAGGCGGAGGAGGCGGAGTAAGGCGTTATATGGGTGGGGGGGGAGGGGGGGAGGAAGTGTATAGTGAGTGAGTGGGTGAGGGCACGTTGGGTTGGATCATGGGATGGCGCACATTTTTTATTTCCCTGGATACGGGGTGGTGGGTTTCATGAGCTTTTGTGAAAAAGTAGTGTTAGGATATTAGCGGTGGCATGCATGCCTGCAGTCGAGCCTTTGTAATCTGTATGCACATATATTTGCCTGGTCTGAACTTTATGTGTGAAATTATACGTGCTTGCTTATAGTATTCGCCACCGAAAGGTTGTCCTTTGAGGATTTCACCTTGAAGATTTCACTGGAGGTGATTGCGGCGAACTGCAGCCTGCCTACCAAGACCATGCAAGGAGCATACATAGAACAGCACACAAACCACATAGAACTGTTACACATCTAACATTTCATTCACACGCATTCATATCTACAACACAAAGGTCATTGAAATAACTGCCTAGTTGATTGCTCGCGAGACACCTATTAAAGCAAGAAAGCTGGCCGGCTCGATTTATCGAATTAGATATAGTACAGTGTATCCCCCCCCCGGCCCTACCACCCGATCCACCTTATCCCCTCACTCACACACCGACATCGTTGGCGACCGACACCAGTGCACGAGCGAAGCATCGAAGAATGTCCGAGCTGACCCCATATCGCAACCCCCACCCAAGGAACCCAGAGAACGAACGCCCTCCGAACCCCTTTTTTTCACCGCCTAATATCTCCCAGCACTGTCTTTCTCTCTCTCTCTTATTCTTCCCTCGCTAAATTACACGGCCGGCCGGCCCAAACGACAGCCCAACTCGGAAAAACAAAATGACGAAAACGAATATTGTCGAATCTAAGCAGCAAAAACGGGCGCCCCGGTTATGAAAAAATGTGAACTATTGACACAAAGCTTTTGTGCAGAGCCGCCCCCCTACCCACCCACCCTCTCCGTGGCGAATCTCGCGTAATGCTCCGGCGGCAAGGAAAAAGAAAGGAGAAGTACCACGCGATTATTTCGGATAGTGTAAAAAAAGCAACCCGTCGGTTTTGATCGTTCCGCGTTTTTCTATATCCAGTACTCGAGGGAGGGGTGATGTTCGATGTGCTGAGGAAGGAGAAGAAGACGAGGGTACGGTTTTTTCGACTGACGAGAACAGGAGACATTAAAAAGAGGTAAGGCCCTTCCCGGATAGGACCTAATGCGGGACCGAAGTTCTATAAGCCGATCTGAGGTATCATTGAGACTGAGAAAGCAACTTTTAACACACGTTTGTTGGAATGAAAACCCGCCGGAAATGCATGGAGAATGGGAAAGCCCGCAGTCTAGGCACAAGAGATTGGGCATGCAAGACGCTATGACACGAATGGCGCTCAAAATCTACTCCCCCTTCTTCTCGCCTGACGCAAGATCGCTCTTGGTCAGGACTGGAGAATCAGCTGGAGGGGGAGATGTTGGGTTCTCCGGTTCGTGGTCGTTCAGGTCACCAAGAAGACTGAACGCGTTGATTGTGGCGACGGGCTCCTTCTCCTTCTGTTGTGGTGGGGTTCCGGTGCGGGATGAGGCTCCCGAGTCGTCTCCAGTTCTGGATAGCGATCCTCCAGGTCCCATCTTGCGTCCGCTGTTGCTTCTCGACGAGAACATCGATGTAGGGGCAAACGACATTGGCGCTCCGGAAGCACGGCTGGCTCCCTTGTTTGTCAACCGACGGAGATCATCAGTGGCAACGGTGTTCTTCGAGTAATCAATCGGGGGCTGGTTGCCGTATTGGTTGGAGAAGTTGCGCGAATCACCGCGGCCAGGTTGCATACGTCCTCCACCACCTCCACGGGGTCCACGAGCATTCTCAGCAGCCTTCTGTGCGGCAGCAGCCTCAGCCTAGGTGATGTTAGTATTTGTGAATATAAATAGTGAATGGGAATTCTTACCTCTGCGCGAACTTCCTCAAGAGTCTTAGGGCCCTTGTTGTCCTCCTTCGACACCCATCTCTTCTTACGGAGATCCACAATGTCCATAAGCATGAACTTAAGACGGCTGGGCAACTCTGGGGTATCTGTCATGGCCACGATGCGGCTGAAGTAGATATCCATCATTGGCTTGCCCTTCTCGGTGCTGTCGAGGTTGCCTCCGATAGTCTTGAGGAGCTTGGTCAACGACTCAATCTCAGCCTCATCAGGAATACCAGTATAATCGACAAGCTTCTTGACACATTCGTGCATGATACGCTCAGTAAGCATGCCAAGCTTGTAAAGCTCACCGATGAACTGGACGAGACCAAGACCACGTCTCTTGGCTGCAGCGGCAATGTAGTAGGCGTCAGAAAGCATAACAGCCTCCTCGGTCTTCTCCTCGCCACGCTCGCCCTCTGGCTTGTCACCGAGGTCCATCTTCCATCCACGCTCGAACTCCTCTTGACATCTGTTGAGGAGGTACTTGCGGAAGAGGTTACCACCCGACACAACGTTGCCGTTCTTGTCGAGGATGCTCTCATCCTTGATCTCGGGACTCATGGTCTCAAGCATGCGCTTGCAGAACTTCGCGTACATAGAAGCCCAGTGAGCCTCGTCAGTAGCCTTCTCAAAGGTGAGCTGGATGACTTGGCGCAGGGTGCGTCCGTCGGCCTCATCCTTGGACTGAGCCGCAATAGTAAGAATCTGATCTGCGATCTTATCGAACTTCTCGGGCGTCATCTTGTTGAGAGCAGCCTTGACCTTACGCTGGACCATATCGGGCTCCATGTGGGTAGAACCACCTGCGGCACCTGGAGCAGGTCCGGCGGCACCAGTAGCAGATTGAGCTGCAAGACTGCGTGGCTTCCATCCAGTGGATGTGACCTCGATAGGCTTCAGGACCATGCCAGCTGTGAGAGGCATCTTCTTCTCAGCCTCAACATTGTGCTTGCTCGTGTTATCACGCTTGCTGCCTTGGCGACCGCCACGGCTGGGGTTGGTGTTACGCGGTGATTGCGGCTGGCCCATGCCCGAGGGCTGTCTGCCAGGTCCCATACCACCAGGGAATGTTCCGGTGCTTCTGAAGTTGCCGGACATTGGGTTTGCACCAGCCGGTCGTGGCATAGTGCCTTGAGACATCTCGAAGCGTTGCTGGGAAGTTGTTCCGGGAGGAAGGGTCTTGCCAACACCGAATGTGCCCATGGTGAATGCACCTGGAGCACGGTTGGAGCCCTGGCGTGGGCCCATGCCGCCTGGGGTTCTCGAAGAGCCCGCGCGGGATGATCCTCCGTCACCGTCGCCAATCAAGGCCTTAATCTGGGACTCGAATTCAAGAGATGGCTTCTCGGTGAAAACCTTCTGGAATTGAAGCAAGAACTCTTTGTCGTACTTGAAGCTCTTGCCCTTGCTTGTAACAGCAGTGTTAAGAGCAGGGTTTGGTGACGAGATGTTTGGTGGGTAGATGGAAGAGTCCAGGACAGAGAGGAACCTGGCCGACTTCAGCGACTGAAGTGCGGCACTTGGCTGCGGTGGCTCGACTGGCTTGGTGTTGAGAGGTGCGAGGTTAAGCGCTGCAGGCTTAGTCTTCTTCTCACCGCCCAAAACCTTTGGTGGCGGGCCCATCGAGTCATCTGAAGCTGGGGTAGATGCTCCGCTGTCACCACCAAGCTTGAGAGCACCGAGTTTCGATGCCAGCGTGCTTGGTGTGAGAGGGGCAGCATCGGCCTTGGAGTCTGCGGACTTAACCTCAACTCCGGCAGCCTTTGCCTCAGCATCCTTGCGCTTCTGCTCGCGCTCATCCTCGATGCGCTCCATCTCACGCTCTTGCTCCTTAAGCTTGCGGTCATTCTCCTCGGCCAGCAACTTGTTCTTCTCAGCGTTAACCAAGTCGGCAGCGGCCTTCTCGGCAGCGCGCTTGGCCAGCACCTCAGCTTCAGCCTTCTCGCGGGCCTCTTCGGCCTCCTCCATTTCCTTGATCTGCCTCTCGAGCTCGTCCTCGGCATCCTGCTTCTCCTTGGCAGCGGCTGCCGCGGCATCGGCCACAGAAGTATCCGCCTTCTTCTCCTCAGTCACCTTAACCTCACCGGCCTTTGGCTTCTCAGAGTCAGTGCCCTCAGCGTCTGATGCCTTGGCATCTTCGCCCTCAGCAGCTCTGCGCACTCTGTCCTTGAATTCTTGCATGACAGTCTCATCTCTCTTGCTATCAGTGCGGGCGTGCTGTGGGGTGGCAGCCTTTGGTGGCGGTGTGGGTGTTGAGACAACAACAGGTGGAGTCTTGGAAGATTGGATGCTTGGAACGGGCGACGCCGGTGGCTTTGCCGATGGCAGCTTAACAATGTCACCATCTGGGTTCTTGATGACAATTGCGGCGCTCCTGCGGGTTGTGCGTTGGAAAGTGCTGGGAGAAGCCGCAGCCTTTGCTTGGGGAGTTTGATGAATGACGGACGCTGGCATGGAAGGAGTTTGTGGCTGGCCCATGCTTGAGTTTGGCCTTTCAGACATTTGCGAAGGTGTACGCGACATTGCCTGGGGTTGTGGCTGCTGCTGGTATTGACCTGGGATGAATGGCTGTTGGTAGCCTGGCTGGGGAGATTGTGGCTGGCCTGGCATGCCCTGCATGTACTGCATTTGCGGGTACATAGCGTATGGGGAAGGAACAGGCATGCCGCTCATGCGGTCGTATGGTGGAGCTTGGTAGCCGTAGTTCTGCATTCTTGTTAGAATCTGGTCAAAGTTGCCACTCTCTGGCGACAAATCAATCTTCTCAGTACGTGGGGGGAAAAGGGGGACAGAGGGAACTGGGTTAGGGAAGAACGGTTTGGCAGCAGCACTCCGCTCGGAGCTCTCCAGAATCTGCTCCAGTTGGTTTGAAAAGAATGAACAGGGCAGATCTCCAGATGGCGCCTTGAAATTATCTCCCGACTGGAAATGCTGTTGATTATTCTTCCCAGCAGCTTGCTGGCCATTCTTGGAAAACTTTTTGCCATTTTTGCCTGACTTGAAGGAATTTGGAGGAGGATGGAGTGAAGAAGAAGGGTGAAGTACTTGAGGTTGAGGCATGTATTGAGGGTGGTATTGGCCATATTGCTGAGGGTTCTGCATTGGCATGACTTGGCCCATGTTCGGGGTGCTTGGTACCGAGTTGGTCAGAGCAGGGCTGCGGTTTGCCTGGTGTGGCGAGTTCGGGTACTGGGGCATAGGTCCTCCACGGCCAGGGAATGGACCGGGCATGCCGCCACGGCCCTGGTTTGGAGCGCCGCGGAACTGGTGGTTGCCTTGCGGGTATCCCATCTGTTGGTTCTGGTAGGTGTTGCTGTAGCCACGGCCGCGGCCGCCTTGAGGGTTGAAGCCGCCTCTGTTGGGACCACCCATGCCGCCTTCTCCGGAAAGTCGTCGGTCATGGCCAGGTTGTGCGCCTGGGGCAAGAGGTGCCTGTGGTACGGAAGCATGTCGCATGTGACGCTATTAAGGGAACAAAGATTAGTACAATGTATCTATGTAGGAGAGCAGAAAATAAAAATACTTACATCGCCATCGCCACCCGGGTGACTACCAAAAGTCATTCCGGCGCTCTGAAGTCCTGCAGGAGGTCTGCCGCCACCACTCGCTGTTGGCTGTGGGATCGGGGAAGGCGATTGCGCCGGAGAAGTCACTCTCGGGTTGCTTGGAATCGCAATCGGCGCCGACGAGGAGGTCGACTGTGAGATCTGAGGAGTGCTATGAGTAGCAGCAGGAGACTCAGCCAGCGAACCGAACTGGATCGCCTTCGAGGAGCCGTTTGCGACGTAGCCACCGTTGATGGTGACGGAGCTCTTTCGGCTGTGCTCCATCGCGTTCCCGTTGCTGCTAGCAATAGCCGGGGTTGAAACTACCGGTACAGCAGGAGGTATCGACGATCTGCCATTCACTGGCGAGATTGACGAAGACTTTCCATGCTGTACCGGCGCGACGTTGCCGACTGCCACGGCTGGGGATTGAGAGGACGAGCCCGTCGCGACCGGAGGCGACGAGACTGCTTTTCTGGTCGCGGAAGCGTAAGACTGAGCGGACTGCGACGCGCCGTTGTTGTTGGAAGCCGAGCTTGGGGGTTGAGTGGGTTGAGAGACGGAAGTCATAGAGTTGTCGACGTTGGTCTGGTGATAGATAATGACGTGTTTGAGATGGCAAACGGGATGGGATCCGTACGGGTCGATGTTATCGAGCAGATGTCAAATCTGGAGTCTCCGTTTATGTCCAAGGGAGTGTATTTGATGGAAGAACTGAGCGGAGATGTTCGAAACAATCGCAGTGGTCGAAGTTAATCGCACTTGTCCGTTGAAGGATTAATTAAAAAACTTGAGATTAACAGGGCGCAGGGCCTCTGGAAATTCAAAGGAGAGTCGTGAACCCGTGGCGATCTGCAGGACAGTCGCGATCGAGATCCTTTGACGGTTTGTGAAGGGTATCCGAAGATATGAAATGCGATCTCTCTATTCCTTGCTAAAGGATAGAGATTCGCAGATTCTTGGAGATGGGGGAAGTTGTTTGGTGGTTTGTCGAAGACAAGAGGGTTGGAACAAAAAAAGAGCAAGAGGGCGAACAGAAGAAATTTGATTTGGCTGGGCGGAGCTGGGAAAACGGGAAATCACGCTAGTCCTAGAAATGCGACTTTGGCCTAATGCGGTTACTGTATTACAAGTATGTTAGATAAATTATATATTAGGAGGGAGGAATTGGAGGGCTATGGAATGGGATAATAATTGGAATAATAATTGATTGCTATAGACAGTGATTGGAAAGATCGGATTGGAATAATTATAATAATTACCGGCGACGAGGGCAGTGATTCAGGCGTTTTTGCTTGTTACTGTGCGCTGTGCGAGTATAACCTAAGATTATTTTATTATCGCCTGGGTCTGTGGTATGTGGTCACTTGGGGAAATCACAGTTAGTAATCGACTCGACTACTATAGTATCCTTTTACTATAGGAAGGCTACAATATCGCATCAGGTACTCTACCCTAACTCTACTCTACTCTGCTCTACACGAAGCAGAATATAAAATCAATATATAAAATCTAACCTTCATCGTGTTGTCTTGCCTGTCCTTCTCTCTGTTCCATCCATTCACTTACTTGCCCGTCTCCCCCCTCTAATCTGATCTGGTCTGACTGATCTGGTCTGATCCAGGGGCACAAAGGGCTTTATTCACATCTCCTGACCAGCACCACCACCATCCAATCCAAAAGTATTCTCTCCTCCCCCTACTACCAATATTGTTTTTTTGCTGCCCTGCCCTAGACAACAACACGTTTCTCCAAAAGCGGCAATCGATATCTCATCCCCAGCTCTACCCTCCTACAGTCCACTCAAACTAACCAACCCACCTGAAACAGCATTAGAGTCTAGTGCGCACAACTGGAGAAGCCGGGCTCGCCTCTACTAGTAGGCAGCCTCGCCTGCCTCTAGTCGCAAAAACCCACCACCATCCGTCGCGTCGTTACCAAAAAGTGACTGCGCGGTACTGATTCACTACTTCTGAGTCTACAAAAGCAGCGTCCTGGGTAATGAATCACTTTTTGTCTTATCCGCACATCTCCTGGCGAGGTCGTCATCACTTATCCACGAACGGATGGATAATCGACCAAAGGGGATTAAATTGACTCCGTGGCACGCACGCACTTTAACGGGGGCGAGGCTGCCTACGTGCGCGTGAACGAGCGAGCGCGCTTTCTTTTTCTTTTTTTTTTTAGTTACAAGGGTTTCTGTCGCAGCGCACAATAATACAATACGAAAAGTGACTGAACAGTTGATACACCCAACAATCTACCTAACCAAGATGTGCTTCAATTATCGAAAATCTGACTCCTTGGTTTGACTGACTGACTGACTGACTTGACTGACCGAGGGCAAACCCAACCAGTGGCGAATCAACCTCCCCCACCTATGTCTCTCCCTCCACCCCCCACACCACAGCTCACTCCGCGCCTTACCTTGGTTCGTTCGCCAGACAGTTTCGCCCCCCTTCATGTCATCCGATATCTATCCAGTTGCCTGTTACTGTTGTGACTGTACCTCCAGTGACTCGAGAGTGACACGACCACGACACGACCCAGCGCCGGTCGGTTTCTCAATAACGAGGCAAGCAGGGCAATTTGCATGTAGATGTTCGGGGTGCGTGGGTTGCATAGGGGATGGGAGCTGTGTGTGATACGATGGGATGAAGACGAGAGACCTACATACATACATCTACGACTCACTTAACCACTCCCTCGGTCCGCTCGCCACGCCTCACTGACCTCATCCATACATACACACATTCCATATAAACAAACTGATGCCTAAAATCGCCACACTCCCACCTCCAGCAGCAGCGCGGTCTTTCGGGTCATCCGTGGTCCATATCATATCATATCAATCCCACCACCCTCCCCTGGCCCATCTACCCGGCGGCCCTGACAATCAATCAATCAAATTAACCCCGGACCGCGATCCCTGAAGCCATATGGAGCAAACTGGACACATACGCCACTCCGACCAAAGCTTACTCTTACTGTGCGTACGGCAAGGGAAAGAAAGATGTTTATAAAAAATGCTGCTAGGTAAGTAAGGGCTCGTTCAACTGTGCTTCCTCGGACCACCAGCCAATGGTTTTAAAAACAGCCATGTCCGACCCTACTTACCTATCTCTATCTCTTGTCTGTCTGCCTAGTCCGGTGAAGCTCAAGGGCTTTTTCTACGCCGCTTTTGGGGGGAGGGGACTGTCCTTTGTTATGTAGTTCTCGTGCCAGCTGAAATGTGTGGTTGTTTTTGAGACAAGATGTTAGAATGAGGAAGTCTCACGACAACAACCACGACAATTCAACCACCTACCACACAACACAACAATCCAATCCAATCCATCCCATCTCCCGCAAAACTCCGCCGCCAACAACTTGTAGATGCAACCGACCACAGTCCGGTCCCCGAAGTTCATTCAGATCATCGGATATTATCCCCCATCTCCATCCCATCCCCTATCCATAAACCCGCACACACGCACTAGCACCTGCGGACGTCAGCAAGAGTCACAGCCAGCACGACAGATATTCCTGCTGTCGTGTTCCCACAGCACAACCCCAGGGTTATGTGCGAGTGTGAGTCGAGAGGATGACAGCACTAGTACTGTACCGCACGCGAGGAGCTGTGAGGGTACGAGGGGGGCAGGTAGGTACTGTACTATACTGTCTGAACTGTACCCTAGATCTAAAAATGCCAGATGGATGGCCCGTTCCGCCGCGGTCGAGTGCTGGGGGCCGGGGCTGATGTCATGTGCAGCGTACATGCATACATAGATGGGATGTACTTGCATGGGTTGGGAGAAAGGGGGGGGGGATATATTTGGGAGGTTGTACTTTGGGGGTTGTAGTTCACGTGAGGAGGGTTGGGTTTGGTGATGGGGAGCCTTGTTGCTGCTGGTTTGGTTATTATGATGTCTTCGGTGAGTGTATAGGGGTTATTTATTGTTGTATATTTTATTTAATAATTGGGTTGATTTATTGTTTGATGCGTGGTTTTGGTGATATTAGTTGTTGTGAGTATTTAATTATGAGAAATACGTTATAAAATTCCCATTCTCATAATTTATACACATTGAGAATATAATTAAGACAAAACCATTAATTTATTCCACCTCATCACCCACATACACCGTTCCCAAGCTCTAGCACCATATAAATACACACCAACGCCTTCCGCCACCCCCAAGCCTCAATATATAACCCATGCCATCTCGCAGCCCAATCCTCAAACGCCTCATCTGCAAGCAATCCCCTCATGCCACATAGCCAGCCTCGCCTCCCCAGCCTCTTACACACCGAACGCCTCTCCCCTTGAGCCTCATCTTGCACACACCCCCGGTTTCCCCCCCCTTCAGCCTCAACTTCCACACACCGAGCGTTTGCCTTTCAGCCTCAACCCCTCCCCCTGCCGAATTAACACCAGCGGCTCTCCCTCCCCCGGCCTAATCCTCCCCCTAAGACTTCACCACAAAAATATCTCCCCCCGCTCCAACAACCACCCCCCTCACCCCCCCTTCCTCCATCGCTCTCCACATTCCCCCCCTCCTCCCCCCCTTCTCCCCCTTCCTCCTCTTCCACCCCCTCCCCTCCCTATCCCTCCTCCCCCTCCTCCGTCCCAGCACCCACCCCAGAATCCCCACCACCGCCCACGCAACCACAACCATCCCGAGCACCACTCCAATCCCAAGTACATCACCCTTCGTCACCCCTCCCCCCCCAATGCGTTCTCTTCCCCATTCCCCCTCCACCTCCTTCAACCGAAAACAAGTTCCAAATCTGTCATCAACGGTGTAGGCGGGGCAGTCGAGGATGACATGGGGGGGGACGTGGATGTGGTTTTTGTGGTCGAAGATGTCGCTTCGGTCGGGGGGAAGGGAGGAGGAGGTGGAGAGGAAGGTGGTGTAGGACTGGGGCATTGTTGTTTGTTGTGAGGGTTTGGGAGGTTGGTTGGTTGGTTTGAGAGATTGAGGGTTTGAGTGAGTTTTTGAGAGCTTGAGGGTTTGAATGAGTTTGCGAGAGGTTGGGTTTCTGAGAGCTTGAGGTTCTGAAAGTCTGAACTCTTGCCGTTGAGCTTGGAGGATTGGATGGTAGTTCGTCTGGCTCAGAAGCTTAGAAGCAACTTTTCGATTTTGGATCCTGGTTTTGCTCGCAGCGATCTTTGGATTGTAAACTGAAGATTGACTTGCAACGAGCCTAGGAGACCAATGCCCGTACCCCGCTATTGAGAGTAGAGCTCGAGCCCACAGACGTGGAAGTCTGACAAAGACCTCGACAATAATTGAAAAGCCGCTGCAATTCGCATACAGACGACAACAACAAACAGAAGAAAAAAGAAGAAAAGAACCCTCCACCTACCTAGCAAGACCTACCCCGCCGCCACTACGTAAACCTCACCCCCATCGAATATAAAAAGTCAATCACGAGGGACGTGGTGCCATTCCCAGAACTGCGGAGAGAGAGTGGCCTGTCATATCAAACCTTAAACTCACGCCGGTCCACACTATCCGGCGCCGGCGGCAACCCCACCAAAGGCTAGCCTCAAGGAGTCCGTCCACACCACACCCATATCACATCAATCAGCAAAAACACACAAGACCAAGCATTCTCCAATAATCTCTCGTGTATTGCCTTTCCATTCATTCATTCCCAGCAGCGCAGCGCATCTTCCAAACGGCGAAACCCTTCTATCTCAAGAAAGAAAAATAAAAGGAGCCCTATGCTACACACCATTCGTCACCGTCGCGCATCAAAAATACACAAATAAAAAAGGACGCCGCATCCCCCGTACCTGCTTGCTGATGCAAATGCCCCCCACCCACCCCGCCCATCTCCGCTTCCCCGTCATCGTTTCCATCCTTCGTCCCAAAATTCCCTCCGCTGGGTATTACAAAGCCGCCTCCCCACCCCTTGCTTCGCACCGAGCGTTGTCCCATTTTTGTTCCCACATCGACCCCACATCGACGCAGAAAAGGAGCCTCCCTTTCTACTTTCAGATACTCCCATGTACTTCGCCACCACCACACCTCTGTAGTCCGGTTAAATAGTCCAATATATCCTTTATTCAAGCATACGTCGTACACGCGCGCTGACCCACGGCAGTCCCATCAATGCCACTGATTTTGCGCCCCCATGAACCCCTCTTCCAGCGTGCGGTCCTCGAGGTTACGGATGAAATCCCTGTTACTCCTCGCGCCTTGCTGCGCGCCCTGCGCGCCCTGCGCTGCTCTGCTACCGCGGCGCCGCTGGCTGCCCGGGTTGCCATCCGGCATTCCGTCGGGGGGAGGTGGGTAGTACGCTGGACTGGGTTGCAAGCGGATCGGCTGCGTGGGGTCGAGGTGGCTTGCGACGCGCTGGATGGCGGGTGGGATTCCACCTTGTTGCACTTCCATTGTCGTGGCTCTCTGGCGTCTCGCTTGGGATTGGGGGTATAGACCTTGTTGCGCTGGCTGGCCGTACTGTCCTGTAGGCATCTGCGGTGGGGGCTGCTGTTGCATCATCCCGCCTTGTGGGTAGCCGCCGGGCTGGGCGGGGTATGGTGGCGGGCCGGCTTGGTGGGCTTGGGTTGGTGGGTACATGGCGCTGTTATTGTACAGCTGCGCTGCTTGGGGGTGGGCTTGGGGGTGGGACTGGGGAGGATACTGGTTGCTGGGTAAACCGCCAACTTGTTGTGATTGTGTCGGGTATTGTTGAGCCGCATGGGCCTGGGCAGCTGCTTGGGCAGCGTGGGCTTGGGCTTGAGCTGCGGAGTGTTGTTGGGCGAGCTGGGCTTGTGCGGCTTGTGCGCGTTGCTTGCTTAGCGCTTCGGCCTGCTGTTGCTGCTGGGTTCCAGGGGCGGGGGATCGGTTGGAAGAACTGGTCTTTAGGTTCATGGGTGGTACAAATGGTCCAGTGTACTTTTGCTGGGTGATGAATGGATGGAGCTTGGCTTGCTGTGGTGACCATCGCTCCAATGGATTGATGTTCAATAAGCCTCGGATGAAGTCGATGAATGCTACCCTATTGTTCATCTCTGTATATTTTGTTAGTGAGCTGCCATATGGGATAATTATCGTAGACCTTACCTCGTTCCACCTCGTTTGGTTTCATATTTTTCCTGGGCATGGCGTATGATCGTATTATCTCCGGTAGCGTCGTCGCTTGGAAGTATTTCTTGCTCGGCTGCTCTTTAGAACCATGTTCTCTTGAGTATTGCTCCATGCTCTTCAGGTGGTATGTCCTCCTCCCAAAATCGTCAACATCATGGCGCTTCTCAAAGAATTCTCCGGACTGTTTCCCCATCTCCAACATCCAGTTTGGCGGGTTGCCTAGCATTTCGACAATGCGCGACACCTGGTTATATTCGGATGAACCAGGGAACAGTGGTAAACCTAAGAAAAGTTCCACCACAATACAACCTAATGACCACATATCAATCGCCGAGGAATATGGTAGGCCAAGTAGAACCTCTGGAGACCGATAAAATCGAGACTGAATGTAGGTATACACCGTTTGGCGTTCGTCACAAGCCGAGCCAAAATCAATGATCTTAATGATGGGGCTCTCGAGGTTCTTGAGTAAGATGTTCTCGGGCTTAAGATCACAGTGTATAAGGCGCGCCTTGTTCAACAGGGCAAGCCCAGTTAAAAGCTGCTGCGCGAATACACGGACAAGCGTCGTGCTTAGACCGCGGAACTGGTTCTGCTTGATGAGTTCGTACAAATTGACGCTCAAGAGTTCGAAGACCAAGCAGAGATGCTGCCTGTGAATAAATGTGTCTCTGAGCCTGAGCAGATGGTGGTCGTCGTTCTTGTCGAGCTTGCTGTTAATCTGCATGGGGTTAGCACTTGTAGTTTATTCAATAAGGACCAATTCTCACCAAGTCGAGCACAGAGACTTCCATCATACTTTGGTTAAAGTATGCCGTCTTATTCTTGATCACCTTAACGGCGACAACCTCCTGGGTCTTCAAGTTCTGGCACTTAACCACTTGACCGAAGGTACCCTGGCCAAGAACATCGAGAATGAGATAGCGGTTCCTACAATTGATTAGATTGCAACTCGTTGAAGTATGGGGATTGCAGTAAAGCTTACTTATGACCCGTCTCTTCCGAACCAAGGATATCGTTGACATATAAAATGTAATCGCTGTCCTCGTTGTCGAACCCGTCATTCTTCGTTCCCTTGCTCGGTTTGGTGAGTACTCTCCTGGGGTTTCGGGACGATTCGTATTTGAACATTGGGTTGCATATTCGGTATGTCGATGGTAAGTGTGTCGTGAGCGCTTGTAGTGGCTAAATCGAATTATTAGAGGAGTCAGACGACGACACGGATTTCTACTTACACTGATGAATCCACCCTCTGGGTTCGCTCTTCTGAACGCAGGCTGCGCATTGATCTGTGGTTGAAGATCTGAAACGGACCTCAGCTTCACGAACTGCGGGATCGGACCACGCTCTACAGGTGGTGCTGCTGCTGGATGAGGCCTGCGGGGTGACTTGGGGTCATTGCCAAAGACTGCATTCAGCTGTGTTGTTGCCGATGGTGGGTATGAATCCTGGCTGTTGTTCGAGGAGTAGGGCGTTATGGGAGGTAGTTGTTGCACCTGCTGTCGTGATGAATAGTATGAGTTCGGCGAAGAATAGCTCGACCTCGTTGGAGATTGCCGGTTGGTATATGGATTCTGGCTGGTCTGAGTACTCGTAATGTACGGCGTAGCTCCCGATACAGCTTCCATCGGGGAGTATCTCTGAGCTGCCGATGACTGCTCTTGAGGGCTTTGTGGATGTAATCCGGAGCGACTGCTAGATGACAGATGCTGCTGGTGATGTGGTCGCATCGGGTACTTGACACCGCTGTACGGGTCCCCGATATCTTGCATGGCTACGTCTCCGTTGCCGTCTCGAGTTTGAGGGGTATTCGGCGTCGATGCCACCATGGACTGCCCTTGCGAAGCCGGGTTCGTTGCACCTTGGTATTGATCGAGCCTATAGTTGGGCTGCGCACCACTCGAACCGTATTCTCGTGCCTGTTGAGGCTGGCCTGCCTGTGAATTGGAATCAAACCTACGAGCACCTCCGCCAGTACTAGAATATGCCTGCCATTGATCCATGACAGATAAATACGTTCAACTTCGCTGCGCAGCAGAAGCGGGGCTTGCGCGAGCTTGTTGTTGGGTAGACCTGGCGGCGCGGCGTCAGGCCAATCGCGAAGGAACGCGTGGGAGAGGGCCAGTATTTGCTGGGGGAGAGGCGAAGGGAGCCTGTAAACGTAGATGCCTTCGTCTCAAAGATGCATCATGATGCTGGGCGACAGCGTGAGTATGTTGTTACACTTGTACTCCAACGTCAGGTCGCCATTACGAGTTAGCGCCAGCGTCGCGGTTGGTTTGGCGAGCCCAGCGACGACCAATACGGCAGAGATGACCGCAACGGTGTATTGCTTATTTATGAAGTATTCGGATTAATTATTACGGATATATTGGTCGCATGCAGGCATATAATATATAAGCCTTCGCATTCTACAAAATGACTACTTCATTGCTCATCATTCACCACGTACATCATGTCACAAATTATTCAATGAGCTGTTTTATGACTGCTGATGGTGCATACGAATCTCCCCACTCTAATGAAATTGTCTCTACAGTGTATCAAACCTGTCAGGCACAGGGCTCCACAGCTTTGTCTTGACAACTGATAATAATCACGCGCAGCCTCAGAGGGGTTGGAAACCTTTTTGTTTGTTGCCCTGTAATTCATCCGCCCTGGGATGCTCCGCCCATGTATTTTGGACTGGAATCGCGGCTGCGCTTAACAACCGACCACGCAAGATCAGATCTCGCGCCAATCCGGAAACATTTCATGTGCTTGTCGTAGTCAAGCCAACGGCGCAGATTATCAGTCACATGACCCAGACTTTATCATTTGCGTTCTTATTCTGATATATAAGTTCTCTATTCTTCGTTGGGCATTGATAGCGTTGTTCTATGGATGAGGCTGGCAGTGTTCCTGAGGTAGAAGGTGGTGTTGCCAGTGTCTCAATAATCGTTATCTGATATTCTACTGTTGTCGTATTAAATATTATCTCAAGCTTCCAGTTCACATTGTTTTCATCATAGAACAACGATAAACTGTACTTGTCTATATTGAGGCTACTGTTCGTACATATTGTCAATGGTCTAGTGATGTATTGAATGTATTATCGTGAATTGTGATTGGCTAATTTGACAACAATGGTCTATTGTGGGTCCTAGCGGCCAGGCTGAAGGTCGTAGCCTGGCCATCTGAGGAATTCCGATTTGACTGAACTTCAAAAAAGGGTTCCAAGACTCAACATCACCTTTTATTTTCTTCATACTTTCGAACTTTCTTTTTATTTGCAAGCTGGCAGTACGTAAGCAGACGCTTTACTCTTCCACTTCCTTCACATTTTCCCGTCATCAAGCAAGATTTCACATTTCTCTGCTCAAAGCCTGCCGATAAGACCTTCAGCCTCGGGTTCCAACCTCAAACTCCGAACATAAAGAATCTTCTTCTATGCAATAATTGTTCCGCAAATATGCCGCTCAACTCCACCGCAGAGGCGGATGTTGAGCCGAATCATCCTTCGCACGATAGACCCTC